TATAGCCCCAATTAAAGCACTTCGTAGTCGTGGATTGAACCTCTGCCTTTCAGGATTTCTTCTGCTGAAGGGTGGCGGAGGCCCGATGTCCAGGAAACGCGTGAAGCTTTGCTTTCAGATGCTGACGAGTCCATTTTCGCTAAAACACCCAAAAACCTTTCTGCGGGCCCCTTGTAGTAAACTTTATAGTAGGCCAAATAGAACCCTTTATATAAGGAGTCAGTCCTTCAGTTTATAGTTGAAAGGCATCCTTTAAGGGATCGATACCCATAGTCCCCCAAGTACTTCCTTTTGGGGATTACCTTATAGGATTCTAAATATGAACCCCAAAAGTACTACTTTGGGGCCTTTAGGGTAGACATTCCTTAAAGGGATCCTGCCGCTCAAGCTGTCGGCTATAGGCCTCGGGATCTGCTGCGAGGACGAAGCGCAAAAAGTTTTTGGCCTCGTCGCAGTGCTTGAGACTTCTGCATGTGCACGGTTTATGCGTCTGGGGGTTTAGAGGCTCAGCTCGTTAGGGTTTAGAGGTTATAGGGGTTCAGGGGCTTAGCGGTTTAAAGGGGAGCTTCAGAAAACAGGGTATACTCTAGCCAACCGTATTTCATAATTGATTTACTTTAATATTTCTGTATTCTAGAAGTCCAGACAGGATCCGCAGTCAGAAGCCGTCGTAAAGGAAGCTTGAAGTTACTGCATCGCTACAGCAAGAGAGGGCATACCCGCAACCTCTGCGCCTACTCCGCAGCTAAGCCCGGCAACGAAACCCTAATGTGCCTCTGAGCTCCTCCACAGTCTTTGATGGCCAGGTGATTCCCGGAAAACTTGGAGCAAGTCCTTCCCGGTATGCAGTTTATCCTGGAGACTGAACTGGTTTGCCGGGGATATCTTCGCAATCTCAATCGTTCCACGGAGCAAACATAGATCAGCCACTCAACTGCCCCTGTGCTTCTGTTTCGAAGCTGTGCGTATTTTTGCTGCTTGAGACATCAGAATCCCTGGCCGTGACCATAAATTGTAAAGCCTGGGAGATCCCTCAGCCTGCCGCTGTGGACCCTCTAGGATTTAGCGATTCGAGTTTTTGAGTGATTGAAAGCAAGAGTCATTGTGGGACTGTGCGATTCGCACAGCAAAACGGCCAGAATGTGGCGTTGGCCCGGTTAACAAATTCTTAATTTTTGGCGTCGCCGCGTGATACTGTATACTTTGGTCAGGGAATAAAGCGCAAAACCTGATCACTTTGACTGGTGCTTCAGCGTCATGAGCAAGATTGACAGGCAGCGACCGGGGAACACATCTGGGCCAAACGGAATGCAGTCTGAAACAAGCCCTAGTAGCTATTCCGGGCAAAGCGAGGCAGGATCTCAGGGTTATCGCATCGTTGAAGTTTCTGCTGGCCATACACTTTCTACAGGTCCTCGTCAAAGCTCTCGTAGGTGCAGAGCTTCTCGAGTATTATGTCGCACTCATTGCCATACTCCTGGCTGTTGCTTCCGGATACGCGGAAGTCGGAAGGTCGAGGATGAAACTACAAACTAGTTCAGTGTGACGGTGCTGTGAAGCTCTCGCACTTTCTTGGCCATGCTTCTGTTGATACGCCTTCTCAACCTTTCCGGTTACGCATAATGTAAGGGGTCTTAATAATCAGAACTAGGGCTTTGGAGCATATTATACTGTGCCCATACAAAAACCCAAAAGAACAGTATTGCTAATTTATTTAGGCCCCTAGATTTGATTAAACCACATCCTGCCTGGAGCTTCCCGAAAGGCGAGACACCTTGCGGCAAGTGGCCACAACCCTATCCACCCCTATATGGGGGGGTTTCTGAAAATAGGGGACCCAAATCTAGTACCCTAAATGGTAGGATCCTTATTATTAGGATCCCAAAATAAGGTACCCCAAATTTTCGGAAACTCCTATTTAATCAGGGTAACTATAATTAGAACCCATATTCGGTGACTTATAACCCCACTTATAACTACCCACGAACCTCCAAGTATCCACCCCCCCTGGCTCCACGCTCCACAGACCCCGAAATAGACCCTAAGCGTTCCCTAAACCCTTCAAAGCGTGCAACCCCCAACCCTAAACCCCCAAGGCCAATCCCTAAACCCTGAACCTGAAACCCCTAAAATGCTGAATCTCACACATGCCCCCCCCCAACCAAAAGAGAGGAGCTGATGACTGTAGAGCCGAGCATAGACAGAGGGGCCCCAAAGTTCAGGGGTGTACGACATATGGGGGTTTCCGAAAATTGGGGGTACCTTATTTTCGGGTCATTATAATAAGGATCCTACTATTTAGGGTACCATATTAAAGTCCCCTATTTTCAAAACTCCCATACAGCAGATTGGAATCTGTTAAACACAGTACATGATATGTAGTTGCCTACCATATATATATATATATATGTATAGTTTCAGTTGTGCGGTATATAACAGGTTGTAGTCTGCCATAAACAGTACTTTTTTAAAAAAAAAACATGGTCTGTGTGTACATGTGTATATATATATATATATATATTTGTATTTATACATATGTAAAGTTTAAGCCGGTTTAATCTTCAGGTTGCTGTACCGTGGTGGTGAACGAAGTACCAAGCCTGGTAAGATCCGCAAAGCCGCTGAGAACCCAAAAGCTGGCCTTTGCGGTATTTGGGGGTTTCCAAAAAAGGGGACCCTAATGTAGTACCCTACATAGTAGGATCCTTATGATCAGGACCCCAAAATGAGGTACCCCTAGTTTTCGGAAACTCCCATTTTGGGCGCTGACATTACCTGAGCCGGATGCCGTCATCAAAGCCGTGCTGCTGTCGATGCCTCTCAAATCCCTGCCGGCTGAGGCCTCTGGCAGCGGACATTGTGAACATCACCTGTGCAAAGCTTTGTGGCCCAGCGTCCTCGGCCAGATTCCGCCTGGCGTCGGCCTCCACCAACAGGCGAACAGCCTCGACATGACCTGCAACATCAATGATGTGCAGCCGTTATCTGCTAGATCCTTGTTGGCACCTGCTTCCACTTCGTCGGCTGCGAACATCAATGAGGTGCAACCACCGTTGTCTCGCAAATCCTTCTTGGCACTTGCTTCCAGCAGCAAGCGCACGACATCGACATGTCCTGCGATAGATGTTCTCATCAAAGCTGTGCAGCCATAATTGTCTGTGATGGTTGGCACCTGCATCCAGCAACAAGCTTACAATTTCGTTTCGACATACCCTTCGCCGGCTGCAAACATCAATGATGTGCGGCCATTGTATTTCACACCCACGCTGGCACCTGCTTCCAGCAGCAGACGGACGACTTCGACAGTTCCTGGGTTCGATGCCCTCGTCAAAACTGTTGGCCCGCGCATGCCTGATAGATCCTTAAACTTGCTGGCTCCGGCCCGCAGCAGCAAGCCGTCGATCTCGTCATAACCAACAATCAACGCCCAGTGCAAAGCTGTGTCGCCATCGTTGTCTGCCGCGTCCTTGTCGGCACCTGCATCCAGCAGCAAGCGAACGACATCGACATGTTCTCCCACAGATGCTATTATCAAAGCTGTGCGGCCATTGTTGTTATATAATCACCTCCTTTTTGGCGCCTGCATCCAGCAGCAAGCGGACGATTTCACCGTGGCCTTTGCGGGAAGCCAACATCAAAGCTGTGCCGCCATCGTTGTCAGTCACATCCTTGTTGGCACCTGCTTCGAGCAGCAAGCTGACGATTTCGACATGGCACCTGCTTCCTTCAGCAAGCGAACGACATCGACATGTCTTCCGGTAAACTCTCTCATCAAAGCTGTGTGGCCACAGGCGTCTTCGACGGCCTTGTTGGCACCTGCATCCAGCAGCAAGCCGACGATTTGAAGACGACCTGCACCGGATGCCCTCATCAACGCCGTGCAGCCGTTGAAGTCATTGAAGTCAAGCCAAGTCTGGATTTTGAGGCAGCTGCAGCATGGACTCGACTTTGGCGTTGGAGCCCCGCTCAGCAGCACCTGCCAGGTCGTTCACCTGCGATCGGGAAACGTCAGCGAATGGCAAACACACGGGCTGCAGGTCCATGGGCGAATGCAGCATGGCTGTCTCCTCCAAGATCTCGCCGTGGAGGAAGAGTCTCTGTCTGAACCGTGGCACCAGGCCGTGCAACTGACTCAAGCGCTTCTTCGATGTCGCTGAGCTCCTCCAGCTCTTCTGCAGGTATGCAGACCGCTGCTTCTCCGGAAACCATCCTAACTTGCAACATCTTGCCGGAGCTTGAAGCTGGCAGGAATGATGAGGCCAATTTCTACAATTCCTAAGATGCGGGGTCTTGCCTTAAACCGCAAAAACACTTTCAAACGGTCCGATAGTGTCTGCCATCAAGCACTCTAGCCGGGGTGCTGAACCGATTTGGAAGTTTGCGAAAAAGGGGCACCTTGTTTGGGGGTCCTTATAAGAAGGATCTTACTGTTTAGGTACTATATTAGGGTCCCCAGTTTTCGGAAACCTCCATTTCGGATGCGTGAAGAGTTTAAGGTTCCATCCAGTGTTTAGCATGATTTGCAAAGGCTTTGGGATGGGGTGTGAGGTGCTTTTTCTGGAATGAGGCGGAACACTTGACCTAAGTAAGAGCAGCAGCAGCAGCAGCAGCAGCAGCAGCAGCAGCAGGAGCAGCGGCTAGTCATGAAAACGTGCGCAAGCCTTTCTCTAATCCCAAACCACTGAACCCTTAAGGCCTTAACCATAAGCCCGAAGTCCTAAACCCAGAAGCCCCCTTGAAGCCCTGACTCCTATTCTGGGTTGCTAAGGAGATTAGTTTAAGTTAACATAAAAGCGATCTATAGCAAATAACACGGTTTCCTTTTTGTGGTAACTTACCTTAAAACCCCTTACAGTAAACCCCATAAAATTGGAAACTGGATTGAGGCCAAATAGTGTTGGGATTCCCCTATACGTTACTCTTAAGGCTGGAGGCTCTGGGGTTTCCAACTTTTGGGCTTCTACTGTAACAAGAACCGAGTATGCTCCTACCGGCTCATCTCAGTCCCAGGGCTCCCGACCTGCCAAGAGCTCAAAAGCTGTCACGCCCACAGCCCAGATGTCGGCAGCCATGGAGAAGCCAGCCTAAGGCGGTTTAGGGTTTAGGGGAGCCAGCCTAGATGAGGATCATGATCCCCTGAAAGGGTTCGTAGGGCAGAATAAGGCGCGTAGAATTTCGGTGGGAGTTCGACTGGAGATTCAGGAATATGACGGCGTAGGCTTTTTGTAATAGTTGTTGTCAGCGTTCGCGGCCTCGGTCAGGGAACCTCAATGCGAGCATGCCATAGTGTATGTTAGAATGTTGCACACCACTGATGTATTGTCCTGTGTTACGATACATGTGGATGATTGCCAACGATGTATGCTGTGCCAGGAAGAGGGATTGGAGCCTCGCAAAGGTCGGATCAGAACATGGAGCACAACTCCTCACCCCATCCCGATCCCTGAATGGGGTGAATTTCGGGCTTGTAGCAGGCCTGTGCGATTGCCAGCTCCGGAGCCAAATACCTGGCAGTACCGTTGAAGAAGTCCGGCTAAATGCTGCGCCATTTACGGTGTTTGGCAAGGCTCTACAGGTCTTAGGTTACATTGTCCTGGCCATGTTTTGCAAGGGTTGCCGCTCATAAGAGAGTGTCTGCCTAGAAAAGGACCCCTGCTCATACAGTCCCTAAGAAGCCGGATCCCTTTTGAAGGACCCTCCGCCTGTACCTGCAAGAAATGCAAATACTCCCACCTCCGAAGATCATCAAAGCAGATCATCAAAGCGGATCTCAATCCCACATCATCACTATGCTATCATATAGTATATTATATCACAAAGTGTAAACTCCGAAGCCGCGACCTTCGGGGCTTCGGGGGTATCAGCTGGCCGGTATGACAAACTGCAGCTGCTTCAATGCACAGCTCAGGGCAAAGTCTGTGTGAACCTTTCTGCGAGCTCGAAGGGTCCTCATGGCCTCATGGCCCTTGGGCTAGGTCATTGTTTCGTTGTGGGATTTACAGGCATCGGGAAATAAACTCCAAACCTCAAACCCTCAACCATGGTACAGTAGCCCCTAAACCCTTCCTCGACCCTAACAACCATTCCTTTAAAGGGTTGCTATAAGGGTACTATGAGGGTTGCTTTAAAGAAACTTTAAAGGACTCTATATGGGTGGAATTTCCGAATATAGGGGACCCTAAAACCCCAAACCCCAAACAGCATTAAGTCCCAACCCCTGAACCCCCACACAATCAAAGTTTCCGCCGGCAGCTCGACACCGTCCCCGCGAACTCCTTCACTTTGCCCTTGTAGGGTGTTGCCAGGCCGAAGTCAATCACCTAAAGCTTCGAAGGTGCGTGTTTTGGGGGGGCTTTCATATTCTGATTTTTGGGCCTCGGAGTTAGGGCTTTGCGGGTTTGAGTGGTTTTTTTACACATGATACGGATTGAAGGGGTTGTACCAAGGGTGTCTGGAGGATTCCACGTGGGCTTTCTGCTTTAGTGCTCAGCGGGCTCCAGTTTGAGGTACAAGCTTTTTGAGTCACGGGCTGGAGCCGGACGTCTGAACAAGCATCATATTGACGCATGAGGAAACCGAATCTTCTTAATTATGGTTATAGAAACCCCAAACGGTTCAAGTACTCAGCCACTAAGATGTGGTTTCGAACTTGAGTTTGGACTTTGGGTTCATGGTCCTTTGGGGCTTCTAGGAGTCAAGATCCAGACTTGGCCTGGCTTTCTCTAGGCTCTCAAGGATGTTCGGATTTATACGAAGTATCAGGGGCCTCCCTAAGGGCCCCAGATCTCTGGTGGTGACCTGAGAACGTATAGAACGGACTTGAGTCTGTTCTGGGCTTCTCCTGGGAAGCACTAGGGGTTTTACACCTATGGAGCGGATCTCCAGTTGAGGATCCAGGGCCTGGGCTTCAGGCTCAGAGTTTAGGGGCCAGGATTTGCTTTTGTGCTTCCTGCCAACCTCCGTCCCATGTGACTAATTCGAGGAGGCTGTTCAAGATTTTCGAGGGACTCCCGGTACTTGCGGGTGGGAAATATTGTGAATTATTGCAGGCCCCCGGATTCGGAAGGTCAAGGCCTGTTGTGTTTCAAGCAGGGGTTGCCGGAACTTCTAGCTGACCTGATTTTGGGCATGCTTCAATCACAGGGACAGAGAGAGGCCAAGACAGAGACCCACGCAAGCCGACAGAGAGACGACGGAGCAACGCACTGAAAAGGACGGCCCGAAGCCAAACCATACCTCCAAGCCGGCAAAGAACGGCGTCATCGATCCCTGACCCATGCCGCAAACCGAACAGGAGTTTGGAAGTGCAACAAAGGAAGCACCAACTTGCTGAACATTTGACATGTCTACCATCCCTATGGCACTGTCTATGCCAAAAACACGATCGGGCTTTGCAACCTCAGTGAACTTGTCGTTTTCTTCACGACATATTTACCGTGAGAGCGCAGTCTTGCATTCGTCTGCAAGACTGGGCCAGAAGTTTAATAGGGGCTATCTTAGTGTTCTTAACAGACAGACTTAGCGAGCTCTCAGGCCCCGTTGATTCATTCTCCGGCTCCCCTCCCCCTCCCCTTGCTGTAGGCTCCAATTGTTCACTGTCTCAATTTCTAGCAGGAAACCTAATTGCTCTGTATATACCGGAACACAACAGAACATCTAAGTTTCCAAGATGACTTACGACAACTGGTGATTTTGCTGGTCCGGATACAGAAGCAAACATTTCTCACAAAGCTTCGCTCATGCCTGCCTTGCACGTGGCATCGTCGTCCAAGCTGGAGAGCATAACGTTCTCCGGCTTCACATCGCGGTGTGTGATGCCACCTCAACATGACGCGCGATTGCGGAGTGCAAGTGCATCCTGATGGTTCACACCGGAGCCTTTGCAAATGTGTTTGATCCGCAAGGCACATGTCGAACACTGCTGGCCGCAAGGACCCTACACCGTAAACCCCTAACTAAACCCTAAACCCCTAAAGCCTAAACCTTCATGGCTGGAGGCCTCCCCTTGTCCTTGAAACGAGAAGTCTTCCAACTGTAGGCGAGGCCACCAACCCGCTGAGCCAGGAAGTCCCCCCGACCGTGAATCTGATTTGGCTTAGTTCTCTTGCTGTGAGTATCAGGATTTCTGTTGAAGATACCAGTTGTCATGCTTCTTGCAAAGATGCTCAAAACTTGGGTGCCGCTTGAGACCGGAGCCAGTGTTGAAGGACCAGGTGCGTCCCGTCAGGATCAACAGGAGTAACGAAGACGCTTCCGAGTCCGTCCCGTTCTTGCTACAGGCACTAGTCGAAAGAGACCGCAGACCCCCTGACCTCCAAGCGCTCTACAGGCCCTTCAAACATGTTCGGCTTTAGGGCCCCGGCTGCTGTGGCAATAGTTCAACACAACCAAAAGCTGGTGGACGATCCTGGAGATGGAGAGATTTCTCATGGTTTCGGGTTTAGGGCTCTGTGTTTAGGGTTTAGGGCTCCGGGTTCAACACGTGCACCTGCAAGACTTCGCCGCGCCTGTGGCATCCGTACCGTGGTTGCGATATGCCGCCAATTCCACAAGCAGGTTCCAGTTTATGAGACGGAACGTTGCACTACCTCCTCCTTTAAAAGCCCACTGCGCCTTTGCTACTAACCCTTGAGTCCCTCAGCCTTTCGACTTGTTTTTTAAGCAGGAAATCCGAAGCCAACAGCACCCAAACCCGAAAGCCCAAACCCAAGCCTGAAGTTCAACTTGCAGAGGCTTTAACATTCGAGGAGTAGAATGCAAATTATTCTACGATTTAACTAGTTTAACAAAACACATTAGTTAGGTAACACCAATTTAGAAGAGCCATAACAGGCCTCGCTGCCAACTCTTCTGGAAGCAGGCGATCCCTCTCCTGTGCCGGTCATTTACCCGCCTAGATGTTTCGCGATAGTCTTCTTCCGTATAAGCCTCCCTAAATAATGCTTAGCGTACACTGTGCACACCCCCACCACCAACACCTGAGATGGCAGGGCTGGTGGGTCGTATCTTGTTGCCAGTATACACCCGCATACAGATTTCCGGGGAAACCGCAAGAAAGAAGTTCAGGTACCAGGCAAGCTTTTCACGAAGTAATCTAAGGGGCCTAATAGGGTTTTGGGTCCCATCATACTCTAATTGTGGTAAATCACATTTGGACAAGCCAGGACGAAATGGCTGCGGGATCTCAGTTATAATGTGCAGAGCTAAGGCTCGAGAGAGTTCACGAACCGCGTTCCTCAGCTACTTCTGCTTCAAGAGCACTTCATATCGAGATCTTCATATATCTATTGTCTGTCTGCATGCTTGCAAACTCCAGACACAAAACTTTACCCCCTTAGAACCGGCAGCAGCCTGGTTCAAGGCAACGGAGCAAAAAGGTGCAACCCATGGTCAGGTGGACTTCTCGAGACTCGAGACCTCTGCAACAAGGAGGGCGTCTTTGTTGGAAAACACCAGAGGCAGATATATTTTATCCCATCTTACATTACAGTACATTACATGATATTGTAGTATATTATATATTAATATGCTAAGGTGCTCAAGAAAGTTACGCAGGGAGAACCAGCCTCGAGGAGGTCTATGCAGTCACCACCAGGGACGTACCTCGAAGATTAACAATAATAGTAGAAGCAATAAGGTAAATAGAAAAGATATATCATGGGTGTTTTACTACTTCGGCTTGATACGTTTTTTAAGAGCTCCGCGGCCTGGGACTCCGGGATTATAGGGTTAAGGGGTTTAGGGTGGATCGGGAGCCAACTCCGCAGCTCACAAGGCACACCGTAGACACGCAGTGTGGCAAGGAACTCGATCACACACACACACACACACAAATATGGCACGGACTCCCTGTTCAGGGGTGAACTTATGTAGCAATGCGAAAATATAAATGTGGCGGCATATGATTCTGGAATGTTAACTCGGACAAGTTCAAACTCCAAATCCGCACCAAACAACCTTGAATGTTTCAAAACCCATACACCTAAGACCTCAAACAGCCTTCGCACAGTGGAAATTTTGAAGAGAAGCACGGGAGAAGGAGGCTGGATAAGTTGCAGGTTCTACCGCTCTTTGGGTTACGGTTAGGGGTCCGGATTGCCGGAATCTCCGACACGGCCTGCCCTTTTCAGGGGTGCTTACAGAGGGGCCTTCATAACTAGAATAGGGTTTTGGGGCCCATTATACTATACCAATAACAAGGAACCCCCAAAAATTGTATTGTTGGTACTATACCAATAATAAGGAAACCCCCAACAAAGCATTATTGGTAACTATCTAAGCCCCTATATTCTGTTTCTCAGCCGAAGGGCTCCAGGATCAGGACCAGCTCTTGTCGCTTTTCGTCCTCAAAGACTGCGAGGGCTTTCACAGGCAGGAAATGTGGTAATATAGGGGCGGGCCTTAATAATTATAAGGAACCCCCAGAATAGTATTGGGAATTATTTAGGCCCCTATAGTACGGGGATTCTTGGGGCTTTCATGCTCGTTCCAGTGACTCGGTGTCCGCTGGCTGCTTCGCTTTTTGAGGGTCGTACGCGCCTGTTGGGCTGGGCCGTCAACAAACTCACCTTCAGTTGAGGTAGTGCTCTTCATTCTCTTCTGTCTGCTTTCGGCTTTGAGATGCCACTGTGCATGGCTGGGCCAAAGTTCCACAACTCGATCAGACCCCAGTTTGAGAAGCCCAGACCGTCATCACATGCCAGTATGTCTCGAGGCTGCAAATAGCGTAGACCTTTGAGAACTTCGAACCCACTCACAGCTAAGCCGTTTCTCGAAGAATGCTCCTTTGGCTTTGACACATCAACAAACCCTGACTAGGCTGTGGGGCTGTGGGGGTTCAGGGCTTATATAGGGCTACCAAGCGCAGATCTTCACATGGTGTTGAACGCAGGTTTCCATCTATGTATTCCATACCACGGAAACGATCACAGCAATCACTCAAATCCGTTTCTCAACCCAACGAATCACCGCACGAGTCTCAAACTTTAGCCTCCAAACATCTCCAAACCCTGAGTCTCTGTTTAACACAGGGGCCTTGATAATTAGAACAGGGTTTAGGGGTTATACTAAAATACATCATAGGCAACCCCAAAAATGACATTGCGCCCCCATATTCTACTTCGCAGCGCTCAAAACTTGGCATACTCCCTCAGCTGACCCACGCGCCTCTGCGAACTCGTAGAGCCTCGCAGTCGTTTCAGCCCCGGGGTGCGGGGCGTAGATCTCTAGACATCAAACTGCGCTCAGATGAGGCATCAGGCAGGCCGTGAGCTTCGCTTAAAGTAATTAGTATCAACATATACATATATGTATATATGTACATCGCTCGTTTCTCTCGTTTCGGGCAAAGGATCCAAGTTGGATGCAGCCCATGTTATATATATATATATATATATGTATGTACATATATATATATATATATATATATATATGTATGTGTGTATTATATACATATATACACGGTTTCAAGGTTCGACCTTCCCTTCTCGCACAGAGTCGTACCCTTTCGTTTTCTGCTCCGGCGCCTACTCTAGGGCTCTTAGCTCTTTTTAGTTAGAATAGAGTTTAAGTTTTGGTCATATCAACCTATAAGTACAATAATGAAGACAGCATCGGTAATTACTCAAGGCCCCTAAAAGCCCTGGGCTTAAAACGCGGGCCGATCAGAAAGCGCGAAGCTCTTGCCTGTCGCCTGGAGCCGACACTCTGAGCCCAGGGATCAACTCCCCTAAACCCTAAAAGTTTAAAGAACCCCTTTTTTTGTGCTACGAGTACCGGACTCAAGTCTAGCCAGTCCTGAAAATCCCAAGCACAAGGATTGGGACACGAAACAGCTCGGCTCTAATCCTCGGCTCCGAGAAGCTGGAAGGCCACACCAGAACACCGATAAGCTAGGGTTTAAGCTTCAGGGCTTCGGCGAGGTAGGTGGTTTGAAGCCGGAAAGGTGAAACTTATCGACGCGGTTTAGGGTCTAGAAGCCTAAATCACGCCAAGAGGCCGAACGATGTTGGGGTGGTCTAAAGCAGAAAGGATCTGCACTTCCTTCCTGCACGTCAGAGACTTTTTCTGATCACACAGGTCCAAACTCACAAGGACTTGGGTCTGCGCAAAAGTTTCTCTTATGCAGTATAATTACGTAAATCCTCAGGGTGCAGGTCCAGGTATTGGAGTTGGGCTGTCCCAACTTTGGGACAATGAGGACGCTAGCATCCATCCGCAACAGAGTCGAAGAAGCCCTACGGCCATACGGGTCTGACAAGCGCGCTGTACCTTCTCACTGCCAGCTTGGACCCACAGCAGAGCTCACACTAGAAGGAGCCCCGCTCTCTCATGTTGCAGTTAGACACCTGTGCCCTTCAGTGTTTAGGGCTTGAGGGTGTAACAAGTCTTTCGGGATGCAGGGCTTTAGGGTTTAGGGCTAGGCTGCTTTAAGCATGTGTAGCGTAAGCTAGAAGAAGCTCTGAAGGACATCCGTTCAAACAGAAGGTCAAACATGTGCTCTCTGCCACAATCTTCTGGCGTCAGGAACTTGGAAGAGAAGCAGCATAGTATATCGCGGCAGGGCCGTCGTGGTACGATGGTGCTTTCTTGTGCAATGCAACCTGCCAGTCTAATGGAGAGAGCTGTAATAATCAAAAAACAAGTCTGACTACAGTCTACGGTAGTTCTATTTGAATCCAGCATGACTAGAACATAATGCGCATACTGACAAAACGGGGATTAACATCATGATGACATTATTGAATGGCGTAAAAACGATGAAGCGAACAGGAATAGTAGGGGAGCAACAAAAACAGCAAACAAAACAGAGGTTGTCTTTCACAGCTTTTACATTGTAGTCGTCAAGAGTCGGGCCGATGTAATTCCTCGATGCGGGGGGCCTCAAACTCAAAGAAGCTTGGTGCAAATTCCGCTTCAAGCCTAGCTGAGAGCTGTTGTTCCCAATTTGCAGGTTTAGGGCTGAAATGCGTAGAGATTCCCCGGCCTCATCATGCCGAGCACATGTGGGTCCATGTCCTTGAGATCGATGACCTGCGTAAGCAGGCAAAGGGCGAAGCAACCGAGAATCTGTGGTGCTCGGAGCACTGGCACCCGCATGAAAACTAGTCACCTGTCTTGCCATGTTAGGATCATAAGACCAGTAGTAATTGATACGACCGAGATGACTGCGAAGGATAATCATACTAATTAGTATAACTGTACCAGTATTAAGCATCGTAATTCTCTGCTACTCAAACCCCGGCAGTCCAGACTGGAAGGCATGAGCAACCGAGATCTCTTGAGATTTAGGATTTGGGAGCTGCTGCTTTTTGCTGTAAGGGGGGTTTAAGGTTTAGGTAATACTACAGTCACTGTAAGGGTTTCTATGTCAGCATCAGGGCTTCTTAGGTCTTAGAGAGGGTCTCGAGCTGTGGGCTGACACTCCATGTATTTGGGCCTCTTGAATTCCTGAAGGCAGAAACGGTGATCCCTGTTCTGTAATTAGATATGCAGCCTTGCACGCGTAGCCCGCGCAGATAGAAGATAGATAGACAGATGGGTTGGATAGATAGATATACAGACAGAGGGAAGTGGATAAGCAAAGAGATGTGTAATTTCATGTGCACATATATATATATATATATAGAATACACTTATATGCATAATTAATAAATACACATACATATGTGCTGGAAAAGCGTTGTGTGTCAATCCAGAGCCTTGCAGACACGGAGCTCGTCGGAACGACGCTCCCTGACCAAGTTCACACGGGAGAAGCTGCCGACATTCAGCCTGGCCGTGCTGCAACTCAGGTTACTATAACAGCCTTTATGATTACCTATACTATTTTGGGGGGTTCCTTATTATATTTATAGCCCAATGGGCCCCAAAACCCTGCTCTAATTATTAAGGCCCCTGTGTTAAGGCTCTCAGTGGCTCGTCTCCACGTCTACGGTTCAGGCTTTAGGCTCTCGCAACTCGGACTCCGCCGCACGACATCCCTCGGTTCAGAAATGCTTTGACTGGTCAGACTACAGAGCTGACAATCAGTTGGACACTGGGAAGGTGGAACACCCTACACAGGCAGTGATGTAAAAGCGACTGTTCAGGCCTTAGGGTCGAAGGTTTAGTTTGTGGAAGCTCATGAAGCCCGTGAGCGGCTTGAGAGCATGTTCAATGCTTCGAGTTTCAAACCTGGGGCAGGGCGGGGGGCCCTTTAAGCGAAGCATCCTCATGAAAGGTGCGATCAAACACTGAACTGCGGCTCCGCGCAACACATAATAAGAACTTCATCCAGGGGTCACAAGATCTAAGGTTCGGAAGTTTAGGGTTATAGGTGCTCATTACTCGGAGGTTACAGGCGAGTCTTGTAGCTCTTCTCACTGCAGTCCATCGGCTGTATTAAAAACCCGGGTCATCGAACCTGGTTTTCGGGCCTCCCATGAGTGTATGAGGTACCTTTGTGACCCCAGTGCGTCTGCAGACCTTCACAGACCAGATATCACCTTCTAGCCAAATACTGCAAGTCCCGAACCCCCATGCCCCAAATCCAATATCCATTCCTCCCGGAAGCCCAAGGCATACGTTACAAGAACCCTTGAGGGAATTCTGCACGGGACCCCGCAAAAAACTCAAGGGAACGGGCCCGGGCCTGATCGTTCAAGACACCCCACGAAAACAGAAGCAACAATGCCAGCTGTAGTGCAGCGATAAGAACAAACTCCAACGTTGCCTGTGCACGGCCGAAACCACAAACTGCCCACAGGGATTTCACTAAATGCGACCTACACCGTGAACTGAGATGCCTACACAAGCCAGGATCCTCATTGAGACTCAGGCTCCAAAAGCCCTGGGCCCTGAAACCCTCCCTGAGCCGAAGATAGTCAACAAGGGGGAGGAGAAGCCTCCTCACGACCTGGGCGCGACATTCCCTGCAAGTGCTTACTCATCATTCCTAGCGGTCATCTGAATTCGGACATCTCTGCAATGTAGAGCATGTGGGTCATGTAGGATTTAAGCGTCAAGTGGATTGCAGCATGGATCGGGGTCACACTTTAGGATTGAGGTGCCTGAGGTCCAGGGCTTCTTCGGCTTGGCTTATGGTTTTAGGACTTAGATTTAGAGTCTGTAGCTGCGACAACCCAGGCAGATCTCATGAATTCAAGTCGGACCTTTGTCTTCTCCAGACAAGACCCTAAATTTGCCGTAAATCCTGAGTGTCAAACTCTTTTGAACGAGTTCTCTCTGGGGAATATCAAACCCTAAAACCTAAAACTCAAAGCCAGATCGACTCTAAACGAGACCCCAGGAGTATTTATGCTGGAGCATCTGAGTTGTCCTTTAAGCCGATTGAAATTATCTACTATTATGATTCTCTTACAAATAGTAGAAAAATCAAAAAAAAGATCCCAAAGGATAACTAAACCCGAAACCCTAAAACGTGGGGCATGCGCATTCCGGCGACTTGTTTCTGCCAGCCTCGTAATGCTCGTCCACGAAATCTGCCGACCTTGCGCCGGGCCATGGGGCTCTAAAAAGGGTAATTAGGGTTTCGGGTTTAGGGTAGGAACCTGATTAAGAAACCCTGGTCCTATAACCCCCAATATATTAGGATTCATATAAGGAACCCTGATAAAGGCCCATGGTTTCTTAATCAGGTTCCTACATTACATTGCCGGATATCCCTTAATAAGGGAATGTACCTTAAATTATGGCAGGGCCCCTAATATAATTTAAGGTACATTCCCTTAGCAAGGGATGTCGGAGTCTCTGGGTACTGGTCCCCCATGGCGCACAAACTTTGGAATCGCTGTCACGGCGATGACCTCCCTGGCCCTACGGACTCGCTTGCCCCGAGACGCTCCAGTCACGCCCCTTCCATGTGTGGCAACCTACATGACCAGCCTCAAACAGAAATGTCGAACACTGAGACGAAGGCCAAAACAGAAGCACTAGGAAAAGAGGTTGAGGTTTGAGCCGTTGGGGGTTCAGCATCCATAGCAGAACTCCTTTACGGGACTACAATGCCACAGCTCTTGTGCCACCGCCGGCCAGGCTCCCGGCAAATGTCTGGAAACAAGCTCCGCCTTGCGCACGCCTCGGGCACCTGTTGCAGAAGGCCGGAAACAGTTTGCGCTCTTGAGATTTCGGGGTAGGACGGGTTCGGGCCCTGGAGGAAAACTGCTTGTCGAAAAGTCAGGACGTGAGAGTCTGGGAAGTGCAGCGAAGGCTGAGAGAGCGATCTCGCCGTCAAGTTTTGAAGAATTGGGTGGGCTGGCTACTGCAAGACAAACCCATGCAATAGTGAGGTATCCCCTTCTTCACACCGTGCTGACATGCTTCAGAATCCCAAACCCAATAACAACGGCGTCCAAGCCAAATCTCTGAACCCTAACTGGCGCCTGTTTTAGGGATCATAAGTACTCATTTTAGCCCTGAAAGCACTGCGAAGGCCCGCACAACGACAACGAACCCAGAAGAAGACGCGAGGCTTTTATAGAGACCCTAAACAGTAGCATGCTTACTATAAGGACAGCAAAATCAGGACCCCTAACTTCATTTCATGACACCAACACCTGGGGTTGTGGTAACTTGTAGTTTGCGGCATAGTGGGAGCATGAACCACGTCAGGAGCTATTGAGGTTCCTACATTGCGCGATGACACCTGCAATGTATAATCCCTGCAAAGCCTGCTGAAAAGCCCTAAAAATTCACTATATGCCTCGCAGGATAAGGAACATCCCTTGACAACCTCCAATGTGGCTTCATGAAGCTAAGGATCCAAACCAAGTAAGGATAGGATCGTTAAGGGTCCATACCATGAGGGCCTGCATTTCCTGAAGGTCCCATGCACTTAGATATCGGAGGCCTCAAAAGGTGGGAGGAAGATAGGTGGGATATTCCCAAATAAGAGTCCTCATATAAGGGACCCTTAATCCTACCTACCTTCATCCCACCTTTTCAAGCCTCCGATAGATACAGGCCTCGCCAGAACGCCCGAGGCTCCTCCTGTGACCGAGCCATTTTCAGCCGGACGGCCTCGGAGGAGCTGCGTATTAGTGGAGGTTCTAGGGGTTTACGGGCCTGGGATGTCGTACCTTGAATGCCTGAATGTGGCAGCGGCCTTAATTACGGGCCATATTTGGGGGGGCATACGGATTTTTTTGGCACTCAGGCTTGGATTGCATCAGATGTAACCTTCCACAGGGATCTATGGCATTAGCTCAGAACTTTTTCAGGTCCGAAACCCCTCTAACCCTCAACAGGCGTCAAACTTAGCACCCAAGTAGAGTACTCAGAAAGCACTACGCATAGGCCCCATAGCAGTTCCTTTTGGGGGTTCATATTGATATTTAGAATCCTGTAAGCTATTCCCCAAAAGGAACTACGGGGCCTAAGGGTAAATACTAGTCCAGTACCCAAAGTTACTACTTAGCCGATCATTCTCGTGGAAGGCCCATCTGGGGCGAACGTTTTGGTGGGTGTGTATTCCTTAATACCAGGGTCTTAATTTTTTGTCACGGCCTTAATAATCAGAATAGGGTTTGGGGGCCCATTATTCTGAAATTGTAATAAGAAATCCCCAATATGGGATGGGTAATTATTTATAAGCCCCTATTGCCCTTTTCATCCGCGCACAATGTCCCATGTTAGAACCTTAGCAAATGACCACCTTCAACCCGGGCATGTATTCTATGCACACCTACAGCATGCTTTGGTGATCTTTCTTGAGTGATGTCTGAGCTTCCAACCGAGCTGGTGATATGACCTTCTCCCCGCTCTGTTTGAGCCCAGGCACGGCCCAAAGCTGGGTTGAGACTGGTAGACATGAAAGACCCTCCAATGCAGGGGCCTTGATAGTTCGAACAGGGTTTGGGGCCCATTATACTATGATTATAAGAAGGAAGCCCCAAAAGGCCCCCCAAAAAATCGTTTCCTGTTCGAATCACCTAACTACTAGAAGCGAGAGAGGAATCGACTCCCACATCGTCTTTCATACTCCTCGTGGTGATGTGCTACGGAGGCTACTCAAAAACGTACTGTAACCTAACATCAACTAGGTCAGCAGACTGAAGTCAACTAAGCCGTGCTACCACTGCTCCTACTGCTGCCCCTGCTAATACAGCAACTGCTATTGCTGCCGCTGCTTCTTTGTACTACGACGGCTACCACTGCCGCTGTTGCTGCGAGGACGACCACGAACACTACAACTTGTTGAATCCGGGTCTCTGACGATAGCAAGAAACAGAAACCTCCACAACTGGTTTCTAGGCACAGTAGCAACGACGGCGTTGGGGCACAGATCATAATACAAACCCTTGCCTTCGTGAGCTGTAAAGCTCTTTCTTTTCCGCATCCGCTGCGAGGGCCTGAGCCTGGTATGCAGGCGACCTGATGGTCTGTCTGGTTTTTAGTAGGGAATGGGGTTCCTCTAAGGGTTCCGTTAAAGGGTCCTACAATAGTTACTGTAAGGGCTATACTGTAGGGGTTTAGGGTTCTTCGTAGACTGTCTGGTTCTTAGTAGGGAATGGGGGAACGGGTTATGGGGACCATTATTGGGGAGGATATAGGGACGACTATAGGGATCCATTCCCCCATTCCCTACTAAGAACCAGACAGTGGTCTGGTGACACGCGCAGGAAACTACCTGGAAGCTCCACTTTGGGATGCCGGCAAGGCGGCAAGGCTAGTATAGCTCCGCATGCCCCAACCATCGCCCCAACTCTTTGTACCAGGCGCCAGCATGATCACCTCCACCTGTGCGGCTGCAGACGTCTAGTCTCTCTCACACGTAAAGAAACGCCCAATTCGTGTATACTGTAAAACTTGGACAGCAAAACGGCGATGTTAGTCATGCTAGTCATGGTCCTTCCTGCCGCTTGACATAAGACAGGATGTGATAATCATTCTTGGATTTCAGCACTCACACTCGGACAAGCCTAGGCGAGGTTCTCAAGTCCGCATCAGGCACGTGTGGCCCACACCATCACACATTGGCGACAGCACAATCATTCTTGGATTTGGGGCAAGGAATAGGGACGCCCCAAGCCGACAAACAGCTGAAACGCATGTTCGCGTAGCTGCGTGGAGCAAGATGAAGCAACATGAACAACCAGGCCAAACACTGCCAAACCCCCAAAACCTAAATCCCAAGCCGTGCAAAGACTCGCAAGACATCCGAACGGTCGGCGACTAGCAAGAACCTCCAAAGCTCCCCTACCCCTCTTTGAAGTACCCGTATAGTAAGCCTGATGCCTAACGAAACGTTAGCCCACACTAGTACGCAGCAACCTAGTACCAACCCTATGGTTCGCAGTCCGGGCGCAGAGAGGAGCTAGATGTTCCGGAGCTCTCGTCGTCGCTGGAGCTGAGGCTTAACCTTAAGGTCTAGGGTGTCAGGGTATAGGGTTTGGCGGGGCGGGGGGGGGAGGAGGTCGGGGGTCTAGCCACCAACTAGCCACCGATTCTCTGCAACAGGTACGATGCAAAAACAATCCAAAACCGATAAATAAAACAAAACAAACAATAAGACTTGTAACAGCAGTATTAGTCATTATTCAAACTCACACAAAACACACGTTATGAACAAACTCTGATACGGGATGCCATGACTTCACCTGACCGGCTCTGGCTGTTTTCTTTGTTTGCTTCGGTGTGCTCAAACAGGAAACAGAATTTCCGATCTCATGCTTCGAGCTGCCGCAGCTCGTAGACTCCATGGTAAGGCAATAGTCGTGAAGTTGCAGGGTTTAGGTATACTACAGTATAGGGGCCTTAAGAATTAGAATAGGGTTTTGGGGCCTCTTATACTACTATAAGGAACCCTGAAGGTACTAATTATTTAAGCCCCTATAGTTACGGCAAAACTGCCATTCTGGTCTCCACAAATTATGTACCAGGGCCCGGCAAGGTGTCATTTCAGGCACCTGCAGGTAAGGCTTCGAGGCTCATCCATTCAACATCTCTGGGCGGTTGATTTTGCGAAAGGGTGCAGCCGGGCCCTAACCCTAAACCCTAAATTATTGGGTCTGAATAGTTCCGAACGGGATGTATGCAGGCATGGAACAATAGAAGCCCAAGAACACCAATTTCTGATAAAACCCGGGCACGCTTGTGCGACGCCTTTGGAGAAGCGGCCCACGACGTCTGCAGGAAAAAGCGGTGGCTTCAACTCTACATCTAAAGCTGTAGTCTCCTCATGCAGGGATCAAGCTTCTGGATGAGGTTTCTCACAAAGATATTCTTACGATGCCAAGTCTCCTCTACGCTCCCACGACAGAACCGAGTCGATCCTAGGTTCCACCTCGATGCCGGGCGAGGGAGTGCACGAGAACCCAAAACTATCTCAACATTCCTGAGCTGTCCGAATAAAAACGACAACACAAAACCTGACTCCAATGTCCTTAAACAGAAACCTGAAGAGTCTGATTTGGGCCGAACTTGCAAGCAGTCAATCTCTGTCGGGAAAACAGAGGCCAGGCTCGTGGTGAACATGTAAGCCACAGACACCGACAACATCAATACATCAAAACTGCAGCTTGGCTAGCAGAAGCAGCAGCAGCCGTTGTCGTAGCTTGTTCGCAGTGGTAGTCGCAGCAGCAACAATAGGAGACGTTTTTGTAGGAGAAGAGGGCCGAAGTAGACAAAGTAGCAGTAGTAGTAGTCGTCGTCGTAGTCGCAGTGGCAAGTGGTGGGTGGTGGTGGTCTTGGTGGTGGTAGTGGTCAAGCTGGTGGTGGTGGTGGTGGTGGTGGTGGTGGTGGTGGTGGTGGTGGTGGTGGTGGTGGTGGTGGTGGTGGTGGTGGTGGTGGTGGTGGTGGTGGTGGTGGTGGTGGTGGTGGTGGTGGTGGTGGTGGTGGTGGTGGTGGTGGTGGTGGTGGTGGTGGTGGTGGTGGTGGTGGTGGTGGTGGTTGGTGGTGGTGGTGGTGGTGGTGGTGGTGGGGTGGTGGTGGTGGTGGTGGTGGTGGTGGTGGTGGTGGTGGTGGTGGTGGTGGTGGTGGTGGTGGTGGTGGTGGTGGTGGTGGTGGTGGTGGTGGTGGTGGTGGTGGTGGTGGTGGTGGTGGTGGTGGTGGTGGTGGGTGGTGGTGGTGGTGGTGGTGGTGGTGGTGGTGGTGGTGGTGGTGGTGGTGGTGGTGGTGGTGGTGGTGGTGGTGGTGGTGGTGTGGTGGTGGTGGTGGTGGTGGTGGTGGTGGTGGTGGTGGTGGTGGTGGTGGTGGTGGTGGTGGTGGTGGTGGTGGTGGTGGTGGTGGTGGTGGTGGTAGTCGTGGTCGTGGTGTAGCAGTAAAAGTGGCAGCAGTAGCAGCAGCAGGAGCCGTGGTCGTCAAGTCGTTTCACCCCGCGCCCCAGCAAGTTTCCTCCATCCACTGCCGTCGTAGTAGTAGCAGCAGCAGCAGTAGTAGTACAGTAGTAGTTGTCGTCGTAGTGGTAGCGACAGTGGAAGGAATGGGAGCAGCGCGGGACCGGACGGAGACAAGGACTAGGTGCAGCATCAAAGCGAGAAGTAGCAGCAGGGGGCAAAGCTACGACAGGAGCTGAGCAGCAGCTTGTTAGTGGCAGCAAACCCCAACAGATTGACCCCAAGCCAGCGAGCCGCACGGGCAAAGGTTGATGAAAGTGCTTGGCTCCGGCCATCTGCTTCCGAAGCTCACAACGCCGCATCCCAAAAAGCTCCAACAACAAAAAACCATGCAGAGTTCCCGAACTACAACTAGAAAAGACTCCCACGCAGCTAGGATGCAGGCCTGACCACCCGGTCCAAGAAGACTCATCGTTTCCGTCCCTAAGTCAAAGGACTTGGAACTGAGGAATTCGGGCTGGCATGGCTGGCGACTGAGTGCCGGCTGCCAAACTCAAGCCGAACAGGTGCCAGCAGCAGCAGCAGCAGCAGAGGTCTATGGTCTATGAAGTCCAGCCGGCTCCACGGTTGTAATAGCCGGTGCGGCAGCTATGGGCGATAATCGTTGCGGTGCGTAGTAGTGGTGATGGTGCTGGTGGTACCAGTCGTGGTCCCGTGGTCGCACCGTCGTCCTTGTCGCAGCAGTGTTCGGCGTCGAAATCGTCGTCGCCATGGTTGTTGTTGTGGTGGCGCTGCTGGTGGGTCGTAGTAGTATAGTTGTAGAAGCAGCAGCAGCAGCAGTAGCAGTCGAAGTTGAAATGGAAGGCGCAGAGGTAGTCCTTGTCGCGGTGGTCGTAGTAGCAGTAGTAACGAGTAGCAACTTGATTGGGGCATCTACCATTGCCGCTCTAGTTAGTGCCCCTGCAGGTGCATGCCCCACTGTCCAAGGTCGCCGAGCAGAAGTGCATGCACAGCTTGTGCGAAATCAAAGCTCGGAGCTCCGGACTTAGGGTACCAGAGTTGCCAAAGGCCAAAGCACAACACATGCATAGGTCAACTGTAAAATCGAAACTCTCCTTGCAGAGGGAGTGGCGTCTGCCGCACCTGCCCACAGTTGAAAAGGCAAGGTTGCCACGTCTTGCCCCGAGATCCAACACCGTGAACGATTGTTGCCAACCATCTCTCCCCGACGATCACTTTGACTGAACATCTCACACTCCGCCACTGTTCAGACACCCTGGCCTTAAACAAGCCAGGGCACGAGAGAATCTAGACCGGAAGTCAACAGCCTGATTAGTCTGACAACTTCCCCTCCAAACTGCCGCCGCCGCAAGCTTCAACACCCTCAGGCACTTCCGTCTCAACATCCGGTTCACTCTCCCTGTCGCGTTCTCGAAGATACTCGCAACCCCAGCGGGGCTCCTTCTGTTGTCCCGAGGCTTTCTCTCGGCTCCAAACTATGCAACACGCGGTGCAAGGCCAAGTCTGCACCTAGGCTTCGCTTCTGCACGCGGTGTAGGATTTGTGCTCTCACAACTCGGGCGTTGATTTTTCAAACTTACAGCAGGGAATCTCGGAACCCATTCCCCCCCCCTTGCGTTTCCTCTTGGGTGGCAAGACGACGACACTACCCGGGATTTAGCAAAATCCCTTAATTGAGGAATATATACCTTAAACTATAGTATAGGATCCCTCTCTTTAATTAAGGTATATTCCTTAATTAAGGGATTTAGGGTAAGGCTTCGACTTTACCCACTTCGCTTGTCACTTATGGTGCCGTAAACCCGAAACCCTGAACCCAGGGGCCTTGTCACTCATGGCGCAGTAAAGGATGGTGTCTGACGCTGCATCGAAAACCATCATGTACGGAAAAGCCACCTCCGATCACAGCAAATCCAGGACACCAGGACGGGCCAGTGCAAGGGCCTTAATAATGACACCCCAAATTACAACAATAACAATAACAATAAGGAGAAAAACTCGAACAATAGCAGCAAATAAAAATGGAAACTATGATGATACTAACACTTGTAATACTGTAATACTCGTAATCTTAATAAAGTACAATGACAATAATAGTTACAATGGTAATACGAATGAATAAGAAGACCAATAACTTGGTTTTGCGTGTTTTGCAGTTAGGGCTTCAGGATGATTCAGGGCCTTGGCTAGAGTTTGGGGTCTAAGGGCTCTCATTGCTTGGGGCCTGCAGGTCTCGTTGGCTCTGCCGAGCCTCGCCCTGCCACGCAATGTCTTAACTCCGAGTTGTCGACAGGCCCTGGAGTTTCGAAATCAAAGGTGCTCCCTCATTGCTAGCCTGAAGTGCTCTGGTCGGCATGTTGAAGGGTACGTGGCGTGTCATCTCTACAAAGACGCAGAAGACCAACTCTTCAACACACACACACACACTTCGACGAAAACCTCTTGCAGAACCGTAAAGACAAAGACGAAGCCACTCGTCACGACCGACAGTCTCAGTCATGTTGCCATGTATTTTATGCTTCCGACCACGAGCTCCGGATCTCCTGTCTTCTGGCAACAGAGCCCAAAGACAAATCCCGCAGCCAAGCTAGAAGGTTTAGGGTTTAGGGTAGTAGGCTGGGGGAGGGGCGAACAAGCAATGTGAACGAAGCAGTTGGAAGAGCAAAATGCACCAAGAACACAAAACAAAACGGAGAAAACAATAAACGGACCACAGCCGCGTCTGCATTGATCACCGTGATTTCTGCTTTCATGTGGTCACTAAGGAATTATTACGGATCACTCCCTATAGTTAGCCAAACAGAGTTTGAACTCAGTGCGCACGAGGACCGAGATGAGTGAAATGAGGTCTGAGTGGAATCATGCACGAGCATGGGCGATGGATGTCCGGAAACCTCCTGTTAAGATAAGGAATACACGTGGGTTTCGTGGTAGTACGGCTGATGGACAAAATCCTGCATGACCCTAAGGACTCTAAACTATGGGAACTATGGTATCTTCCTTATAGTGGGTAATGCAGGATTTTGTCCATCAGCCGTATGGCGGCAGAGATGAAGGCCGACGTTTCTGTGGACCCAGGGAAAATCAAGCCAAACTCTGTCAATGGGGTGCCATGCATCCAGGCAGCGAGCACGGCCAGGATGCCCCCAGCATTGGACCAGAGGTGCGGGTTGCCGATCTCAGCAAGAACTAAGGCTATTAAAGCTTGAGCAAACCATCAAAAAACTCAGCTTCATCATCGTACGAACTGCAACCATACCAGCCAACATTTTGCCGTCGCATGCCGTCACCCTCATCATCGCCCCCACCAATCACATGAGTAGTTCTTGGCACAAAGTGACTGCCGGTCGAAGCATGACCGCCCCCGTTGCTTTCGCGGCCGACGGCATGCTTGCCAGCAATGCGGGCATGCGAACTGCAAAGGTCCGAAAGAGGGCTCCCGAAGCGGCAGGGTTCAGGCTTCAGGTGTTTAGTGCTAGGCCCACAGCTGCGAAAGCTCGGAAAATCCAAGTTCCATCAAGTAAGCGAAGGCTAGAGAGGCCAAGCTTACAGCATGTACCATGTCATCTAAAACGACAAGCCCGGCAGGCCATCCAAAAGCAAGCTACCGCAGAGCAAAGCACAGGTGGAGTGTTATGTCATGTAACATCAGGGCAAGATGAAGTGCAAACAACTACAACTATGCTATTCCTGTTATACGAAAACTATGACTCGACTATTGCTATTATAATCTGCTTCTTGTCCTCATCTCATCCTTTGGTTCGGGAAGGGCTCCCGTAAAATGGAAACGGCAGACAAGGCAGTGTGTTCAGTTTCAGGGTTCTGGTAGGGTTTTCGTTTATAAATGAAGCCGCGTTGACATTGCACCAGTGCAGGGCCGGGTTGCGGGGCCCATTTCCCATGAGGTCAAAATTCACAGCCCAAAAGACCGTGGTGCAGCAGAAATGATGCTGCCGAAACAACGCAAAGTAACAAAACGAACGTAGCCTTGTCAGTGGGGTGGAAACTCATCGAATTTGAGGTATTTCTTGATGTGGCTTGCATTGGTGCTTGTGCCCTTACCAGCCAAACCCGCAAGCTCTCAAAACCTAAACCACCGAATCCCAATGACTGCAAAAAGTCGAATGCATCTCGAAACCACCTGAACAACTCGATCCTAACCCTAAACCCTAATCCGCACAAAAGGCAACCACTGAGTGCCGCCGGGCCGCATAGTGTCCGGAGAAGGGATCCCCGTAGCCTTCGAGTCCCGGGACATACCCGCCAACGGTCCTTTGAGTGTTGGGTATGCACGTATGCATGTATGTCTATGGAGTAGATATTAAAAAATTATGTATGAACATATTTCTGTATAAAAATTGATTAATATGTACTTTGATATAACGAAAAATGCAATATAGCGAAAGAGATTTTCATATAGCAGCAAAAGATAATATCGCAAAGTATTTAGAAGAGTAACATATAATCTAGTCTAGCATAATACAAAGAAAACAGTATAGTATAGTACGGTACAGCTTAAAATTCAATACGCTGTAGTAAAATATAATACTGTAATCAATGTAGTATCATGCAACATGCCATAAAACGATACAATACAATACATAAAACATATTCGTGCATAAGTAATGTATATAACAATAATAATACCAATCTTAACAATAATGGTAACAATATTTCACACGTAATAATAAGAAGGGGCTTAGGTTCAGGGAAAAGTTCACAGGGTTTCGGAGTTTGGGGTCTGAGTCTGAGTCCATGTTTGGATGCCGTTTTCGTCATTTTGCATGTGTTTGCTGCCGTGGCCTGCCATGCTTCCTTCGATTGCGGTGCAGGAATTTGCCGAGATCAAGGCTTACGGCGTAGGGTGTCGATAGGGGTAGGGCTTAGGCTTTTCCCGGAACCAGGTTTCGGGTGTGGGGTCGAGGGTTTAGGCTTTGAAAGACCAGGATGTGGGTTTTGGGAGCTAAGCTCTGGGGACTTTACGGGGCTACAGTAAACCCCATAAAGTTGGAAACCGGGTTAAGGCCGAATAGTGCTGGGATTCCCTATACATTACTTTTCAGGATTGAAGCTATTTAGTGTCCAACTTCTAGGTTTGGGGTCGAGGCTTTAGGGACACCCTCGCGGACAAGGATACCTCTACGGTTCGTACGCATTGAGCGTGGTGTGCACGATTTAAGCCCAAGATTTTGTGAGTACCAGTCAAGTACTGGACGAGACAACAGCAACGAACGAGACTGTTGGCAAGTGTCATGCAACAACTCAAAGCTAGAGTCGTCAGGAAGTTCGTATGTTAAGTGTCCAGGATCTAATGTTCAGGGTTTGTACAAGGGCATAAATGTAGCTCTGTGAACCTGTCGCATTGGATAAGCTCACCGTCCAAATAGATCGGGTTCCGTCCCGGGAATCCGCATTGCGTTAGAGTTTGTAAGCGCCGTTCCATCAATAAGGAGTTTGATATGTGGCTAGACAGACGGACGCATCGTCGCAGTCGCCGTCTGATGTGCTTTGGGTCGTGCCAAAGCACCGTACTAGTAGCACCCAGAAAAGACTCAGCAGCGGAAGGTCTATGACATGTAGGATATGATGAGAAGCTCATCACACTCGACATAAAACCTCGCATTCAACATGCAGCGACAAATCTCAACTTTGAGCGCTGAGCCTTCAAGATCACATGCTCCGAGGTGCAAGTAGACGATGAAGTACCCCGCCCACCACACCATCGCTCCACAGATCAACCTTGGTCCAACCACTGCATGGAATTGAAACCTCCATGGTATCTCAGTGGTGCCACACCAAGTATGAAGACAGCGAATTTGCGAATCTCTTCCATACTACCCCACCAATACTCAATACTAGAAATTACTTTCGGTGGAAGATATAGCAGCATCCGGGCTTTTGCGGCCAACCCTATGATCGTCCCATTCCTTCATGATCTTATCCTCTTCATATGGCAGACCACAGAGCCTGCAGGCTTGCATTCTCGCGGTTGCAGCCTGCAGTCCCTCCACCCCATGTTGCTCTGGCTCTTGCAACCCCAGAGCTTGCGGCCTGCAGCTCCCGGGCGGCGCCCACTCCTAAACCCTAAACCCTGAACCCTAAACCCTAGAACGTTCCTGCGGCATCTGGTGGCTGCAGTCCTGAAAGAGAGAGTTTGGGAAGGGAAACGTCAGGAATTTAACTCACACCTTCTAGCCTAACAGGGCATAACTGTAGTGTGTAGTCGTGCGTGATTAAGTCTCGTCTTTGGGTGCAGCGCCGGGCCGAAGGCCTCCCGAACATACAGTTTTGAGTATTCAACCTAGGGGAACCTTCCAGTCGAGGAGGAAGAGATCAATTCCGAAGCCCTCGAAGCATCCTTGCTGGAACTGGAATTGAATTTTCGTGTTTTTGCTTCGAACCAGTAATGTTTGTACCAAAAAAACCAGGTTCTGTGCGGCTTGTTGCTGAGATCTCTGCAGGCACGGGGCTGAAAGATGAAGGTCGTGCCGTTGAGGGAGCCTGCCTTTGGCGTCAGGTCGGAGCTCGAACATTAAGTGATATTGATTAAAGAAAAAGTAGCATTAGCATTGGTGTGAGTGTTAGTATAGAAGTCATATTCATATTAGTAGCAGCAAAAAAAGCCATTATTTGCTGCCAGCTGACAGTTTTCACCTGAAGGTGGCTTATCTCGCTGGCCTGCGAGCAGCGAAAGTCCACAAACTTGTCTCTGGGCAGTGGCCACAAGCTTAAGCTCGCTTTCGGCGCTCCGAAAATCAGAAAAACCCACATAGGAGCTTCCGAAAATGAGGGGTACCTTGTTTTGGAGTCCTTATAACCCTACTATCCAGGGTACTATAGTAGGTTCCCACATTTTCGGAAACTCCCACATTGGTTGGGAGATCAGTTTGGGTTTTTAGGGCCTTTTGAGCCTGCGGTTCCGGGACGGGCGGAGGGAAGGGGGGGCAGACAAAGGGAGTGGGCGGGCGTGGGCAAGCACTCTTGGGCATGAGATGCTGGAGGCTGAACTGGGAGGTCTTGGCTTCGGGACTGGAGTTTGATGTCCAGTTGGGGCCAGCTTGAACCAGTGATTAAGCTTTTGGAGATCGCGGGACCTTCTGTTCGAGTCTTGGACATGGTGTCGCTGTGGCTGCAGGAAAAGAGCTATGTTTAGTGCTCAATAGGCAGAGACCACGGGCCATCGGCTACACCTGCAAGCTGCCTGTTGAGTGCTTCGAGTTTTAGCATGGGAAGGCCGTTAATATGGGGGGCCTTGCAACAATAGTCTTCTGCGTTGTCTACTACGTCTTCTTGTGGCACAAACAACATAAACAACTCCCTGAGACAACAAGGGTGGTACGATTTGCTCGGCCCCGTATGCGCAATCCAGTATACTTACTTACTATACTACCGGAACCCCTAACGGGGTAGCAGTATAGGGGCCTTAATAATTAGAATAGGGTTTTGGGGCCTATACTATAACAATAATAAGGAACCCCCAAAATAGTACAGGTATTTTTTCAGGCGCCGATAATTACTAGTGTACCAATCATTCAGACCCCTTGCTTGTAAGGGCCTTCTTGGCAGCGCTCCAAAGTGGTTCGGAGGAGAGCGCCACCTGGATCACACACACCCCCCTCGGGGATGTAAACTCTAAACCCTTTTTGTTGAACGAGGTCTCTCTGAAGTGCCTCCAGCATTTGAATTTCATCAATCTCTCTAGCTCAAAAAGCCTAAACCCTAAACTTCGGTTTAGAGTTTAATGCTTGCTTTCTGTTACTCTAATCGCCCGTTTCCTACTCGCGACTTGTTCATAGAAAGGTCTCACAGATCGGATGTCTCGGCCCATCCCGAGATGCTTGCAACAGTTTCCCACTCTGGGCTGTTTGTTTTCACATACTAGTCATCCAAAATGGGAAGAGAGCCTGAATCAATTAACGGTTTAGTGGTTAGGTTGAGGGAACTCAGTTAGAGGAATGTGGGTTGTAGCTGTAGGGTGTCTCATTTTTGCAGGTGTTAGGCTTAGTTGTCTTGCTTCTGTTTTGTCTTGGTTAACGTCGTGTAATGATCCCCTAGACCAGCTTGATATCGGTGGGCACTTGCGAGGATGTTTCCAGCACATGGTCAAGAAGGGTTTCGGGCTTAGGGTCAACGGTTGCCCGCAGCTGCTCAATATGTTGTTCTGTGATCTTACAGCAGTTTAATGTTATATTGAGGTCGAATAAGAGATGTTGCTCCAAAATGCTGTCCCTCTTGAATCCTTCTGTGCTGCCTGGGGTGGTGACTACCTTGCTTTGGTCCTTCGGATTTTTCTTGGCTGCTGCGCTATGGCGCCGAATCTTGATTCGATGCGATTTGTGACTTTCTACCTCTATGGCTCCGAACTTCGGATTTACAGTTATGTCCTCGATGCACAACCCACATCGTTTTACCATCCAGGTCCCGACAGCCGACTCTCTTAGCCAATTCCCTTACCCACGTAATATAGCTAAATTAGACTAGGGCGTTTGGGGCCCATTCCGCTATACTTATCTTAAGGAAACCCCGAAATAGTATTGGTAGTTATTCCGGCCCATATATTACACCGCCCATAATACCCCTTATCGTATCCCTAATAGGACCCTTTTTCAGGATCCCTTCCATTATAATCATTATATAAGATCTTCGACCTTTGAGCCCTCAGAACCGAAGTCCTGCAAGAAGCCCGGAATAACTATGAGCGGCCACAGCGCCACTCCGAAAGCAGAGCGTAGGCGCTCAGGGACGACGGTATGGGATCCAAGATTGCGCATGTTGTGCAAGATGCGTTGACTGTCAACCTATTCGGTGTGATGCCGAGGTAACAGTACATGCTAGCCGGGACATCATCATGCTAGCAACTCTTGCTGTGTGGGAACACCTCGATGTAAGCGTTTGCAGAGAACTTCTCGAAGTGGCGCTCGTAGACGTCCACGACGCCTTCGGGCATTCAACAGCAGATTGTCATGTCTTGGTCGGGGTTTAGGGGCTTAGGCTGTAATCTTTTTTGGGCCCCTGGTTCTGTCTGCCCAACCATCTGAGCTTACATAAGGCCAGGGCTTTTTGCGGTTTAGGGTTTCGGAAGTCTCAGATCTTGGTCAGGGTCTCCTCTCTCCTTTTCCCGTGTGGCCTTGGGGTTGGGAGTAGGGTTTTGTTGTGAGGTTTCGGCTGTACAAGAGCCTGGGTAAAGCTGGACATGTCTCGCAAGCGACACTGCGCTCCAGGGATGGACTCGAGGCCTTTGATCTGAAACATGTTGAGGAGTCGGATTTCAAGCAGACTCGCACCGCTCAAGGCCTTTAAAGCCGTAGCTCACAAAGACAAAACATGAACCCTAGATCCTGCACACACTCGATCCCCATAAATTTCCGGCCAGGACTCCGGCCCTTTTTGAGCGTGTGGTGAACACAGGCATTCTGGGTTTGGGGCTTCTTTGGCTTTCCGGGCTTTCGAGATCATGGCATTTACGGCTTCTGTAGCTTGGGCTAGGATTCAGCACTCACAATCTTGTATTGTATTTGGGCCGAGAGGCAGCCGCAGCAGACAGATATGAAGGAGCCCAGCAGGTTGTGATCTATCCGAGCCTGGGTGGTGTCGGGGAAACTTTGACTGATGTGACGAGGATGTGGCGCATACTAAGCCGGAACCAACCCCCCGTAGCTTCGTCCTAAATGAACCTGGCTCTCTGAGGTTTGTAGGTTGTAACAAGTTGTAGGAGGTTGTAGGTCCGAAGCTTTGTGGGACTGTAGAGCCCCGTGCTAAGGATAAGCCTCAACCATGTCAAGTGACTTGCGTCTTACAATCAGCCAAGCAGTTCGTCAGAGTCAAGAAGGCCGCATGCACCAAATTTGGCTGCGGGCTCCGACTGAAGAATGAGACGAACCCCCAAGTGGCCCTCAACCCTTTTTTAAGAGATGCCACCCTAGCGTGGGCTGCACAGTGTCTGGGGCTGCACAGTGTCTGCGGGGCCTAGGACGGCCCCGAATCGGATATCAACTGCTTCCCAGGTCCTCCCTGCACGGGCTCAGAATACAAACGGCACCGCTCCCTGGCCCTGCAGCCGCGGCCCTGACAACATCGAAACCAGTAGAAAAGCTGCTTTCGTAAGCTGCCGAAGGAAATTGCCGCAAAGTTCAGAAAGACCATGGTCGACAAACAACGAAGCCTGAGTCCTAAAAACCCCATGTCTCGAATCCTAAACTTGTTAAACCGCTCACAATTATCGACTTCTTTCCCACGCACCCCAAAACCCTACAAGCTTCCCAAACTTTGAGCCCTTAACTATTCATTCTAGGACCCCTTTACATCCTAAAACGCAAAAGGTTTCCGATTCCTAAACAATAAACCCAAAGCGACACGACCTGGTGACGAGTAACGGCTGCTGTCAGCGTTCCCAGAAGGAAGCGAAACGGACGTAGGAATCCTCGAGTTAGACGGGGTTTAGAAAGACAGGGGCCTTCAGAAATGCAAAGAAACGAGGAACATCAAGGGATAGTACAGCGACGCACTCTTCAATTCCCGAACAGTCTTTTAGGGAACAGGGCATATAGAGCAGTGGGCTGTGGACACACGCACTCGCTCAGAGCAGGCACGGATTACGGACCTTTCGATTTATATATGGGCTTCAGGGTTTCGAACTGCAGGGGCTTGGGCTTAGCGGTGTTAGGGTAGGGGTTGTCGACTGCCCCGTTCGCACATTCACAAGGCTGGCAAGGCTCCACTACAACTGGTCCGCCAATTCGGAGCTAGTTTAGGTTCGGGTTTTGCAAAGGCTTGGGTTTGGGGCGCGTGCCCTTGAGATTCCTAAGTGTTCGGAATAGAGACTACATAGGCTTGCTCAAAGCATACTCAGGCACCGAGGGCTTCGCTCAGTTTGTTTCAAACCCGCTCGTTTTCGCAAAGACTCCGATGATCATTGCTGCTTTGATCATGGTACCGAAGTGGTACCGGAAAAGCACCTGGAAGCCAAGGCATGGGTTCAGTACTGCCCAGGCACCGTAAATCAAAGTAAGCGCACTACTCATGGCCGTGTATATATATATATATCCATATATATATATATATATATATATATATATATTCATATACTGATTTATTCATGTATCTATCAATATTCTCTCTCTCTCTCTCTCTCTCTCCCTCTCTCTCTCTCTATATATGTATATATATTTATTTATTTATTTGTTTGTTTATGTACAGTACAAACTAAATATTACGTATTCAACTGTTGCTGAGTGGGGCATTAACCAAAGCATGGGGCACCAGAAGCTCCCCAAGTCTGTAAGAGCAACATTGCCTCTTCTGCCGGCTCAAGAGTATTCTGATGGCCAAGTCCGAAACACTGAACTCAATAGGTCTTAATAATCATCATCACTCATTGTGGTTCTGAGTGGCTCTTGACAACAGTAGTTCTGGAGGGTTCTTAGTATAGTTCTCAAATCCATCTTGCATCTGACCCTGCCCTCTCACTTTCCTCGATTCCGGCTTTGTCTCCCGACATCTGAAAGTCATCCAATAGGTACGAGCCAAGGGTAAGATCAAAGATACCTCTAAACCCTGCACCTCCAGGCAAAAAAGTCGTCAAACTGGACCCGGCGAAAGCTCGCTTGCTGAGTTGCAAAGACCGCCATTTGCTGCCGAGCTTCCCAGAAGAAGTGCGACAGATGCTCGCAATTTTCTCGAGTGCCAGGCTTCGCCTTCCCGGCTTTACCCTATCCCTCCAGGGACTTTGATATGGGGTGCTTAAGGGGTCTAGGGCCCTAACTATGAGGTCCTTGGAGGGATCGGGTTAGGTCGGGCTCTCACGCTTACGAAGGGTTTGCGCATAAGAGCCGAAGGGTAAAGTTGCTGCGGAGTTTTGGGGTGACAGACGGTCTCGGACAACAAAGCTTTGAGCTCTCAAGCTTGGGCCCTATATAGTACGGCGTGCAACATGGAGGCCTACACGTTCGGGTAAAACGGGGCTTTAGGACATGCTCTGCTGTGGCTGTGCCGGAATGATAAGTGAAGCTACGAAGTTGTGCTGTCCTCGACTGTTGTCTTCTGAATCTTGGATTCTTGACTGCTGCCTCGTCCTGGCGTTGTTTTTCCTCTCTCTCTCTCTCTCTCTCTCTCTCTCTCTCTCTCTCTCTCTCTCTCTCCTTCCCCAAGCAAGAGGGGAGTGCGAAACCCCTCGGCCCTAAGGGCCCCCCCGATGTTCGTGGGGCTTGTGGAAGGGCGTGAAGATTTTGTGAAGGTTTTCCCCCGGTTGAACTTAGACTGTGTTACAATGCTCGTAAGTACATACAGGTGGTGATAAATTAGAGAATATCCGACCGGGGTTAGTCACCAATCACATCAGACGTCGTGGTACTCTCCAGTCTCTCTCTCTCTCTCTCTCTCTCTCTCTCTCTCCTGCGTGTGTGTCTGTGTGTGTGTGATCTTGTGTGTGTGTGTGTGTCCGTATATTACATATATATATATATATATATATAAACGAAGGGCCAATCTTTACACCCTAAGCCTTAAGCAAACACTAAGGTTCGAATACCAATTTGGGTTGGCCCTGGGCTTGCCCCGTCGTCCTCACATGCGCCACCAGTCGTGTAGAAGGCCTTTGCTGACGAGAGTGCAAGAAACTGACTTTCAATCAAAAACTTTCCGTAGTGCCGTGATGTAGAATAGTTTAGATTTGCGGTTTGGGGGGTTAGGCTTCGACTTCATCGGAGACTCTATACGATCTTTTACTGTGTTGACTTTTGAGGTCGTGGCACGGTCATGGTGGGCTGTGACTGACTACATTGAGACATAGGAACAACCACATAACGGCAGATGATGCAATCGCTTAGATTTGCACCCTGACTCCCAACTCTCAAGTCCACCGCGGCGCTCCGAATTACACACGCAAAAAGGCCCGTGTTGAGACTGGCACATGTCTGCAGAAGTCGACCTCTGAAGCATATCTGTTCATGGCACACGCAAAGCATCCCATGATGACACGTCCTCAAATCTGACACCTCCCAAACCCCAACATCTCCACAAACATATACCACAGTCACTCACTAAAACCTCTCGAATGCGAAACCCCTGCACCACTGTGCGTCTCCCATGCAATTTTAGTTCTCACTCGGACCGGGATCTACCGCAATGTGCACAACGTAAACCAAGACTCCGGCAAGAGAAACTACAGCCGTTTGTGAGACCTTCTTGCCACTGGCAGACAGGTGTAACTCAAGCCCCGAAACCCTCGCTCACGAAAGCCAACCCCTTAAACCTTTGCCCATACTTCATTGCCCCCCTCTTGCTGCAGGCTTGCACGCAAGGACGTCTGGTGCATTGCACCCCTTTTTGCATCGGGCCTTTACCACCGCCCGGTAATCCCCAGCCCCCCTAAACCCTGAACCCTAAACATTCTTTGATATGTCCCTGATTTCACTCGCAACACGCATACGCCGCCCAGATGCAGAAGCCAGGTAGGCGACACCGAACTCCCAGCTCGCTGTGATCGTGCTATCCGTCCTAAGGTTCGCGTTGAAGGGCTTATCTAGCTGATTTCTTGGTTCTGACTGTTCTGCAATGCCGGTAAGCATACTGATTACCCAAGAAAGGTCTGCTAACTGAACCTTCGCAACAGTTCACCGTCGCAACCACAACAATCTAATGTTCCGTCCTGCCTACGCAAATCTTGGTGCTCCCTACGCGGAGCGCACACGGTCTCCGCTCTTACCAGGCAAGCCGCTAAGTGTTCACATTACGGGTACCCGTTTTAGCATTATCATCCTTTTATCCCTTGAGGCCTGCCTTGCTACGTCTTCCCCCAAGTACCAGTGCCTGATGGGCCTTGCTCTACGTTTCGGTCTCTCAAGCTGTCCCTGCCAACAAAAGCCGACGGCTCCAAAGGAACATGCCCAACCACCAGATGAAGAAGGTCAGGTTGGCTGGACAGGAGTCCTGCCACAGCCAGCATCACAAACTCACTTCTTTCGTATGGTTTACGAGTATCCCTGCAAGACTCCCTCCAGCAACGTGCCATGACTACCGTCGTTCTTATGGTATGAATGAATATTACAGATGTCTACTGTCTCAGGATGGCGTCCTGCATCGACCTGTCCTGCATAAGCCCCTAAAAAACCCAAAGGCAGAGGCCGAACCAGCTTCAGGGCTTCAGGGGTACATTATCCTTTGTTTCTATAAGTGGGGGGCCCTAACCCTCAATAGTAGGATCCTTACTATAAGGACCCCCAAATAAGGTACGAGTACCCCTCTTTTCGGAAACTCCCATATGGGGACTAAAAAACGGGGCATTTATCATGTTCCAGTGTTCCCCACCTCTAGGCCCTATGAACCCTATAAGCCCTATAAACCCCACACCTAAACCCCAGAAGGGCGGCTAGCAACATCCAATCTTTCAGAGTCTTTCTCGGGCTTCGGCTCCCCTTTGACGGAGCCCTTATAGTTCCTTTACGAAGGGGAAGTATAAGGGTTCATTGAGAGGGATCTATATGGTGTTGGGTTTTTGGAAATCGGGTCACGAAGTTTGGCTTAACGGCTTAAGCCGGAGGTAGATACTGTTTGGCGAACGTCACAGTATCGAAGCGCAGACCTTACGCCACCAGCTGTCACAGCTTAAAACACACCGTCCAATCCAACCTCGATGTAGGGTCTTGGCCAGGGTGGAGGAATGGAACTGCACGGGCGCACTTCAGGTTTAGGCTGCAGGTTAGGACGTTGTGGAGCTCAAAACCACAACCTTCATCCCACACCCTGCGATGTGGCGGGGTTCGTCCTGCCCGCAGTCGAACCTGAAATGATGATGCTGGTGGTTGTAGTAGAGACCTGCACTTCAGCCGTGGTCCCCTGGATTCATGCCGTTGGGATTCAGAAGTCTGCGACCCTCCGAAACGTCTCCTCACGGCCACACCCCATCCATCTTGTAGAAATCCTCATGCGTGCGAATTTCTTCTGTGTGTGTACATGCATGCATGGGCGACTGGACGGACGGACGGAGTGTGCATGTGTCTGTGTGTGTACCCATACATAGATATGCATACATACATATACATGTTTTTAGCACTCGATATACGTATACATATACATACACATACACACACCTACATACATACATATATATATATATATGTAAATATGTGTGTGTACGCACATATACATATGTCTGGCCTACACACCTTTCTGTTTAGCTGCAGATTCACTTATCTAGACGCATGTAAACAATCTAAGCTATCTAACTAACCCGGTGTGCCACTGCTGTTGTGCTCCCTGCCGCCTGCTCGTGATATACCCCCTGCCAGTCAAAGAGATGAGCTTCGGGGCATTAGCGCCTGGCACTATTACAACTAGTCTAGTAATAATGCATAATTAGTATTACGATTATTGTTATAATTAGCTTTTGGATCCTAGGCTCCCCGACCCGGCCCGCCTGCCGGCGAGATGAAGAGGCAGCACACCATGAGGCCGGTTGTGCAGAGCCTTGTCCTGAGTTTAACAATCAACCCGAGTAATGTAAGGGCCTTATTCATTAGAAAACGGTTTGGAGGGTTCCTTATGACAATTTCTTTATATACCACCCAAAACCCGATTAATATAGAGAACCTTAAGGGTCCATGTGCCCAAAGTAAGCTCCTTTGCGGGTTCCTCTAAGGGTGCCATAATTGTATAGTGGTTCCTTTAACCCTGGCCTGCCTGGGGTTTACGCTCTCACAACTCGGACACAGCCAGGCGAGGTTCTTAGGTGCGGAGTCGGTGTGAAAAGTCGTATAAGATCGATTCTCGGGTGTACACGTTTAGGTTTTTGCTTTTTGGAACACTTTTTCCGTCTGCTAGCAGGTCACCAACTCAGGAATCCGCGCACTAGGGGTTTTGGGTTTGGGTTTGGGGCACTTGAGTGGCAGTTGAAGCCACGGAAACCTACACAGAATTCTGATTCGTCGGTCGCCGATCAGAGCTTCGATGAACAGGGTCCAGACTGTGGCTGTTGGTGGCAGGAACCTTGAAGGCATGACAAGTGCTACCGCAGCGTCATCCTCCACCAAATCCTGGAGAATTGCTTCTAAGAGAACCGGCTCGTCCCAACAAAGGTACCATGATGGCCATGGCCGACTTCATAATAGTTGTTTCTGATAAGGGGCCCCCTTTGCGCAACTTCGGCAGCTAGCTACTCGTACCTACTCGGAATCTGTATCTACTGGAGGGCTTCGGCTTTCCCACGTATTTCTGGAGACAAGCGTCGCAAGAACCCCCAAGGGCCCAAGCTGCAGAAGAGGAGAGGACAGCACGCACTCGCAGGACCTGAGTTCTCGGCGCAACTCCCTCGTAGATGCAACGGTACTTGGCGCATGTGTTGCCATCCTAACCTCGGCGTTGGTAGCTCGCAGGCCAGAATGGCGACGAATTCCCGAAAAAACTGCACCTCTTGAGCAGTCGTAGCCACCAACCTCCAGATCCCTGCCAATGCTCGAACACTCCGGTGGCCACTTGATCTGCCACAGCCAATGCCGGGATCCATGCGCAGGATGCTTGAAGCATGCAGTGCGAGATTTCGTCCACCCGCCGTCACACCAAGGCATTACGGGGGAGGCAAGCGCTAGTGGTAGCAGTAGTAGTAGCAGTAGTAGTAGTAGTAGTAGTAGTTTTTTTGTCACCCACCTGGCACACCTCTGGCAGCTCCGGGGGGACTAAAGGGTTGCAAGTCACGACGGGAGCAGCCCCTGGGAAAAACAACCAACAGAAGGTAAGGCCACACATTACAACTGCTCCCATCGATCCGGAACTCAGATTCCTTCTACTTTCTCAGACTCACTAGTAGTAGTAGTAGTAGTAGTAGTAGTAGTAGTAGTAGTAGTAGTAGTAGTAGTAGTAGTAGTAGTAGTAGTAGTACTGACTAGTAGTAGTAGTACTAGTAGTAGTAGTAGTAGTAGTAGTAGTAGTAGTAGTAGTAGTAGTAGTAGTAGTAGTAGTAGTAGGTCATAGTAGTAGTACGAGTAGGAGGAGCAGGAGCAGCGGTAGTGGTAACAGTAGCATGGGAAGGGTGGCTAAATGGTATCATCGTCGAACACCAACTGCAATTGTTTCTCGTACTTACCACGCGACCACTGCGAGACGATGACTGCGAGCAGCAGCAGCAGCAGCAGCAGCAACACTAGCAGTAGTAACAGCGATAGTTGCAGAAGCAGAAGCAGCCTCTGCAGTGTTGGGGAAGCCACAACACTTCCTCCACCGAACACCACTCAAATTTATGATCCCAAAGTTTATGTCTGCAGTTGCTAAATTTTCTGTCATGAACGTCACGGACTGCCCGACGAATGTGCTTTCGTCTTTACTTTTGCAGACAAACTCTCACTTGTGATTAGGTTATCGCATTCAGCGATTACAGATGATGCCTTCTGACATGAAACACCTCCATACTGATAAAGTCACACACTTATCCTCTCTCATGCAATAGCTAGCTTTGACACGGGGCCCGTACCTCAAGGAGATTGACGGTCTCCGAAGGCGCACTCGATGCTGAAGGTATCCAAATCGCAGAGCACTGAAGGACCCGTCACTAACCAATCCACCAACCAATGAAGAAATCACCGAGCCATCGAGCAGGCAATCAGCACTGTACTGAAATTGAAACGGCCGATAAACCAAGTGCACGCAGGCGGGCATGCTGCTCTTGTTGTGTATGTCTGCGTGTACGTGCAGATAAACATATATAAATATATAATGTATGCATGCATACATACACAACATACGCACACACGCATGTGTATATATACACACATACATATACACATAATGTATTGCATGTCAATCTGTGGTTATCTAGACGGGACGGCATATACCCAAAGCCCCTACTGTAACTACAAAACCCCAAAATGCCTGAAACGCTGACCCATGTCCAACAAACCCTATAGACCCTAAAGGCCCTAAGTCCAAGGCAACTGGATGATGGCCGCAGCTTTGGTGAGTTCATTCATGTGGGCACAGGCGAGGCAAGCCAGAAAAGCGCCTGAGTCAAAGGACCGGAGCATGGCCGGCCTCTCTGGGTTTTGACGGGTTTTTAGGTTTGGGGTTCTATCTGGGTTGCTAGGGATTTTTGATGCTCACACTCGGCAATACCAGGCGAGGTCTATAGAGAGACCGAAGCCGTTGCGAAGGATTGGGGCTTTAGGGCTTTAAGATTCGGGTTTGGGATTTTGGGGGTTCAGGGCTTGTATTGACAAGCAGCTTCCTCTAGATTAAACACGGGTCCGAGAGCGTAATTTAAACCCTAAGCCATCCCAACCTTAAGCACAAGCTTCCCAAAACAACGGGGATTCCAGGATCTGGAAAGCTTTACAGAGAATTCATGTTTGGCTACTGGGTGAAGGACGGGTCTGCACCTGGACCTAAGCCCCACCGGACATGGGTCCTTAATAACGACGCTTAGGGGATACGGCCCCATCACCCAAACAAAACTGTATGTAGCTCATTGGTCATTGGCTTGAACGAAAAGTGGTGTCATATAAAGGGTCTACACAAGCTAAGACCTCCTCTTGTCCTCTCTGACTCAGCGCAATACAGAAACAGAACAGAAAAGTTACTGCAGGCGATGGTTGTCAGTTGATTTCAATGGTCATGCCATTGTTCAGTCACCATGGTCTGCATCATCACGGCGCAGCTACACATGGCAGCAGCATCCAGCCAACATTCATCCTGCGGTGACCTCCTCCTTGCCCACCTCTTCAACTACATCCTGTTCCTCCTCCCCTTCCCATCTAAACAGCATCAGCATCTTCATGACATCCGGCACGACCCAATCCACTCTACCACTCAGTGCTTGCAGTCCAGACTAGCTTACGGGGAAGTGCTCACAAGGGATTTTGGTCAACACTGAACGACTAAAGACCCCCGCCCGGCGCCTACGCCCAACAGCGCCACGCAAGCTAGCAAGGCAGCCTGAACACACGCTTGCTGACTCGGCGATAGCTTGTGCGGGAGTGCCGATAGAAGAACAGCCATCTGGAGAATGCATAAGAGATGTGACGAACCGCTTCCCGAAAGATTACGGGCGCGGCCACGACATCAAAGCCCGATCTGGGCCGCTCGTATGACAGAGGGTATTTGCTTGGTTGGGGTCGCTTCTGCCAAAGGATGCTGAGAGCCAGGACTTAGCGCAGGCCCACTAGGCTTCGGCGCTCAGTTGTAATATTAATAGCCCCCTGCCACCAACACTAATTACTGGCTTCCTGGTGACGCCGCTTCATGCAGCAGCAAGAGTACTGGTAGCAGTGCTGCGCCGAGCCGACTTGCTCACCTAAACGAAACGCAGGTTTCACGGAACTCTGCAGCGTCAGCAGCGTACCGACGGCCCAACTGCGAAACCGGCCAATTTAGCTCTGAATTCCAGGTTGATCTGAGCCCCGTTTGAGGCCCGAGAGAGTTCAGAGTTTAGGACTTGCAGCATAGACCCCAAACAGCGAAAGAGCACCCAGCAGTCCACGCCCTACATAAGCAAGAAACATCTACCGAATTCGCAGCAAGCTGTACCTGGACCCTAAGGAACCTACCTGTTTAGGGTTCCCTAATATGATTTCCTTATATAAGTCCTTAAAAAGGTAGGTTACTGGTGGTTAAGGTAGCTATAGCAGCGGCACGACTGGCATCGTAGAAGACTTAACTTACGAGTCATGAGCACGACTTAGTCGGCGGGTGTGGCAACCCCCAAAGTCAGCTCCACTCTGGCGCTGCAGGAGCGCTGCAGGATTGCCAACATGGAAACTTGGAAACACCAAAAAAAAGCCAGGGTTGCGAGCCACAAAGCTATGCACTTTGGCCTTGCCAGGATCTTTCAGAACTCGGGCCCTGGGCGAGACTGTAGTCGAAAGCGTGCATAGATCTGCAAACCCTGAGCCCGCAGAGCTCAAGACTCGTCCCTTGAAGCCCTTGCCCTTGACCCTGTGAGAGCCCTAAACACTCAAAGTAGTGGAAGCCTTAACAAAGTACGAGCCCACTCCCGGACAAGTTCCACTCAGGGCTTCCCGGCCTCACCATTTTGGAAGTAGAGGATCGCAGCCCATGCTATGGGAACCTGGGTTTTCGGGGGTTAGAGTCTCAACGGACTCAGGGCTCGCCCACGAGGCAGGCAAAGATCCGGAAAGTTTAGGGTCTGGAAACACTGTAGTCTCCATTGTAGTTCCTTTTTTGGGTTTAACCAATTTTATATTCAGGATCCTAAAAAGTGACCCAAAAAAGGAACTACAATGGAGACTATAGGACGGACTTTGTGGCCTGACGTTGAAAGAACTGAAGAGAGTTGTAAATGGGACTGGGCGTTGCTTTCAGGGCCTGCTCCCGCTACATCCTAGGCCCTACGCATAGGCTCCATAGTAGTTCCTTTTTGGGGTCCATGTTTAGAACCCTACGAGGTAACCCCAAAAAGGAACTACTATGGGGCCTATGGGTAGCTTAACACGGACCCTAAACCCTCAACGCCCTCAACCCTGGCATGCAGGCCACAAAGTACGAACAAAGGACCGACTTTCGCTTAGGTTTTGGGTTTTAGGCCTACAGTTCCTGGATGTTCCTGGCTTCAGTTGGGTTTGAAAATCGATCCCTGAGAGTGCTGGGATTTACGACGCTTGAAAATGTACTGCCGCCACGATGCTACCTGACCCGACGGCAACGACGACGGCCACATTATGGCACAATTTTCTCGACTAGTCTTCATGACTCTGTTGGTTCTGATTTGTTGCACCTGCTCGTGCAGCATGGTGCTACTGTTTCTGACTCTGCGGGTCCAGGATTGTTGCTGCTACTGCTGTTGCTCCTGATGCTGCAGCAACCGTAACGCAATGGCCTGCACTTTTTTGTTACTGTAGCTGTTGCTGAGGGTGTAGCTACCGTTGTTGTTGCCATGGTGAATCGTCATAGCGGCGGTCGTTGCTTTTTGTTTCTGCTGTGGCAGTAGTAGCAGTACCAATTAGAAAGAAAACCCAGCAACAGCAGCAGTATTAGTGGTGGCGGTGGTGGTGGTGGTGGTGGTGGTGGTGCGCATCAGTCGTCGTCGCCGCGGTGGTAGTAATAGTAGTAGTAGCAGCAGCAGTAGTAGTAGTGGTGGTAGTAGTGGTGGTGGTGGTGGTAGTAGTAGTAGTAGCTGTTGTTGGTTACTATTATTATTATCATTATTATTATTATGTAGTAGTAGTTGTTGTTGTTGTTAGTAGCAGTAGCAGTAGTAGTAGTAGTAGTAGTAGTAGTAGTAGTAGTAGTAGTAGTAGTAGTAGTAGTAGTAGTAGTAGTAGTAGTAGTGGTAGTAGTAGTAGTAGTAGTGTTTGTTGTTGTTGTTGTAGTGTCGTGTAGTGTAGTGTAGTGCAGTGCAGTGCAGTGCAGTGCAGTGCTGTGCAGTGCAGCGCAGGGGAGTGGAGTGGAGTGGAGTGGAGTGGAGCGTAGCGTAGTGTAGTGTGGCGTAGCGTAGCGTAGTGTAGTTGTAGTAGCAGTAGCAGTAGCAGTAGCAGTGGTACTAGCAGCAGGAGGCGTAGGAGTAGCAGCAGGAGTAGTAGAAGTAGTAGCAGCAGGAGTAGTAGCAGTAGCAGTAGCAGTAGTAGTAGTAGTAGTAGTAGTAGTAGTAGTAGTAGTAGTAGTAGTAGTATTATGTAGTTGTTCCATGTATCGTTGAACAAGTCGAGTTGGTTGTGGTGGAGGTCGTGAAGCAGCACGGGTGGCCGGGTGGTGGTGGCGGTGGTAGCATCAGGCACCAGCGTTTCTACCCATGCTGTCGTCATCACATGTTGGCGTTACTGTTGCGATTATGCTGCTGTTGCCGTTGCCGTTGCCTTTGCCGTTACCGTTGCCATTGCCATGGCCATTGCTGCTGCTGCTGCTGCTGCTGCTGCTGCTGCTGGTGTTGCTGAGGCTGCTGTGGTTGTTGCAGCTGCCGTGCCGTCGCGATTGTTATTGTTACTGCCTCGGTGGTTCCATCTCTTGCCTTTGCTCTTGCTGTTGTGTTTCTATTGTTGCAGCTGACGCTACAACTGTCCCTGCCCCGCCCATACTGCCGGATTGAACTCACGGCAAGACTGCCATGGACGAGGCAAATGGTCACAAAACTACATACTGAGCTCCAAGCCAGGACAATCAGGCGAATGCCAACAGTCGACATGGCCAAGGCGTAGTCCTGCATCTACAGCTTATAAGCACATGCATGTTCATTGGTTTTCAGATGTGCGAGTGTTGTGCAAGGCGTGGATAACCTGTATGAAAACAAGCAGAAAGTCCTCCTCAATTGGAGGAACCACTTTTTGCGGATGAAAAACTGGTGCTACGACAACTGCGGGTACGGGTTGACAGAGCCTCTCAACATTGTAATGAGCTGACATGTGTGTAAGACAATGTTATTGCCAGAACTGTCTATGCTCTCGCTGTTGCCGCCATTATCATATGCGTGTAGCAGAGAAGCCAGCCGGTTGCCAACAGAAAGTTTCCTGCTCGACACAGGTCGCACTGTCCCCTGTCGACAAACCGTACATTCCAAAGCTGATTAGCAAGTTCCAAATCAAAAGCTCACGCCCTCAGTTGGCTCACCTGCCTTCAGCACCCACAGGTAGCCTTAACTGTCCACACCACGAACCGGAAGCTCTGTCCACGAGGGGCGTTGCAGAATTGGTCTCCCTCCTAGCTAGGACGAGCCCGCATTGCAGTTCGTGCGCTGCGCTGCGCGCTCGTCTTCGCCAGGTGGGAGGCCGATCTTATAATTTGATGAATTGGGGTTTGCGCAGCTGTCTCATGACTCGAAAGCGCCTTTCTGTCTAGCGCTTGGTTGACGGCATGCCCCTCGCTTGCCAGTTGGCAAGAGAAAGATGGCTGAAAATTTGGGAATGGAATTGCGCCGAGTACATGTCCGTCAGTTTGGTATAAGCTGTCGCCTTCGGACAATCCGGGCTAGGTCGGCTAGGGTCCGCTGAACAGCAAATCGCAGTTTCGACTCTCACAGCTTGAGGCTTTACGGTCCAGTCGATCAGGTCCGGCATCATGGGGAATGTGACTTAGGACAGCAAGTAGATTCTGAAAGTTCGGGCAGCCAGAGAACAATTAAATACAGCCGCCAAACACTACATGGTTGAAGGGCTGGAAAGAACATGTACACACAGGCCTCCCGTATCCAAGCAGTCAAGGCACCGTGAGAAATGCAGATTCCCGCCGTGGCTGCCTTGCAACTGGAGCAACGAAAAATGTTGCCTCATCCTTTGGTTTCATGTGCTGCCCGCAGAATTTCCACTGTTTGCTCTCAGGCTTTGCAGGATAGTCTCTCTCTTTCTCTCTCCCTCTCCCTCTCTCCGGCAGTCTCGAGGCCTTAGCTCAAGCGAAACACTAGAGCCTCTGTGCCCTTTGTGACGATTTGAGGCGTTTCCGGAAGACAAATCATTCGGACCTGAACTCGGACCCTAGACACGACAAGACTTTCGCGCCGCAAGTCGAGTTATACCTTTTTGAACCCAGGCTCTGCCGATCAGCTGGGACTCCGAGTTATACCTAAACCCCAAACCCTACTGGGCGCTTAACGCAAAAATACAGACTTCTAAAGCGAGGCTTTCATCCTAGTTCCCTCCATCCTCCACGCAGGTGATCTAATGTGGGGGCCTTAACAATTCTAACAGGGTTTTGGGGTATCTCATACTGTAATACAAAGGAACCCTACCAATAATATTGGTAATTATTTAGGCTCCTATAGTAGTCAAGCCAGTTGGTGCACAAAACGCTGACAGCTCTCAGAACCCTGGTGTCGCAGTCACGAGGTCGCTCGCCCCAAAACCAAACGGTTTCGATGCTCTCTTGGCTTAGGGCTATTCCTGCAAAGGGATCTATAAGGGGCTCTTTTCAGGGGGATCTATAACAGAAGGGACTGCCATGGGGACCCTAAACCCTAAACCCTAAACTTTATCAAGGGTTTAGGGTTCGGCGCTCACACTCGGACAAACCAGGCGAGGCATATGAGTTCGAGTCTGCAGAGTGAAACGACACTAAGAGGCCTCATCACGACATCTCAGCAACAAAGGATAACAACACTTGAAGTAACTGTACCGGTCTGCGAAGCCTCTCCTTGGAATCTCTCTGTTGAAAGCATTCGAAGAAACTGGATTCCAAGGCAGTGGACCAGGCACATCACTCAGGGTTGGGGTATAGGGATCGAGCCCTACAATATTCAGTAGTTACATATGAGAGGGAAGAGCCGGGTCGACTCAGGCATCGTGATCTGTTGTGAGGATCAAGCATTGCATGATCCCCGCGGTCAGCTTATTACCGACGCTACAAGCACCTAATTCAGACACCATACAGGAGTGAAACTGTGGAGTACGTGGAGTGACCTACATGTTATTTCTCTGCTTGCCAAGCCGCCCCAAACTTTACTTGAAGAAAGGGATTTCACTTCCATGCCCACTAGTCATAAGTAAAAATGACTTCAGTACCATGCCCCGGCGCTTGGTCCAATGAATTCCAGCATGCACCCCTCAGTTGGTGAATTATGCTCACTGGGGATGTTTAGACATGGTTGAATGTGACGCGAACATCACACTCAATCACATCTAATCACCTCACGACAGAGTATATCATGTTTTCAGCTCGGTCTCACGTCTGCTAGAGCAGCCAGACTCGGCGCTAATAGCAGAGGAACATGCAGGGTTGGTAAACTTGTACCATAAATTCAAGAGCCCTGCATTCAATCTCTTGCAGTCATGCAATGTAGACCAGCGGGCCTGTCTCATCGGTGGCCATCTGGTTGGGCGTAAGGGTTTAGGGTTCAGGGTTCGGGGCTTAGGGCTTCGACTCGTCTTCGGGCCTCCGGATCCGAATTGCACCTGGAGGCCTCCGACCGCAAGGTCACCCGGCCAAAGTTAACCAAAAACATTAGTATAGGGGCCTTAATTATTAGAAGAGGGGTTTTAGGGCCCATCATACTTTAAATTTAGTAATAAACCCCCTCAACAAATAGTATAGGTAATTATTAAGGCCCCTATAGTAAACCCTCAAGGCCATTCAGATATCACATCAAGGTCGAACACATGCACTTCGCTGCTGCTTTTGCAAGGCCGCGGCTTTCTTCGTCTCACATATATCTTCGTGTCACATATATCTGCGGGCTGATAAAAGGAGCACTCAGACATGAGCACCTGTGCTTTCTGCCTGAAGTTTGCTGAAGTGAGCGGTCAGCTGTGGACATGGTTGAGCACAATAAACTCGTCTAAAGGGCTTATAAGCCTTACATTGTCAATGCAGTCATACAGGCAGAAGGGTTCCTGTGCCCAACTTGCGCAGAACTAGAACTGCATCTGTGACATGACCAGCTGGCACAAGGATGCGGAGGATGCTGTTTCGGCTCAGCATACAGTACAGTAGGACGGACAGTTGGAACATGAGTATCCGCTAAACTCCATGAAGCCTTAGCATTAACAATCACAATCATAATTCGAATAAGACATAATAAGACTAACTAACCATACACCAAAACCACAGTTATCATAGTGGACTCTATATCAACCAAAGCCTTCACCCTAATCCGGAACATTCTACGGCTGACACTCGCCTATAGTCCCCATGCAGTCCTGCCATCTGCTTCGCAAGTCCAACATGACAACGGCAGTTCCACTGCGATTCCTGAGAATCGCAGCAGCCACCAGAAGTGGAAAAAGAAGGACACGGTAGTTCTGGCAAGCCTCCTGGCTCTTTCTCTCGGCTCCTCGGCAGCAAGCATTTAGGGTTCCGAAATCATGGTGTTCAGGTAAAGGCTGAACTGGGGCTTTCGCAGCTGATGGAAGGCATTGTCACATTGTGCTGCAAGCACGCGTCCTTGGAGCCCTCAGATATAAGCACCTGTGCTTTCGGCCTGAAGTTTGCTGAAGTGAGGTGGTCACGTGTAGACAAAATTGAGTACAATCAACTCGTCTCAAGGGCTTGCATTGTCAATATACAGTCATACAGGCAGAAGCGTTCCTGCGCCCAACTTGCTCAGAACTAGAACTTCATCCGTGACTCTGACATGACCAGCTGGCACAAGGATGCGGAGGATGCTGTTTCGGCTCAGCTTACGTATTAAGCGGCAAGCGAAGGACTTTCGCAGCTCTCTGGCTTCAACACAGCATGTCTGTGCAGCGTACCACATCTGTTCGTTCTGCATGGAACTGAGAGAGCCACATCCCCTTCTGGAGTACGAATTTCTAATCCGCTGCGCTTGGACGCGGTAGCAAGGTCCAGTCATGCCACAGACTCCATGAAAAGCCTGTACTAAATAGCAAAGTCATAATATATGTGAGCAATACTGTCCAAACACCGATAAGAGACGCCATGAAAAGCACTGGCAAGCATAGTCATAATGTGACTAATACAATCATACATCAATGATACTACAGTTATACTACAGTTATACTACAGTTATAATAGCGGACCAGCGGCCGGACCAGAAGGTTAAACCCGGGACCCCGAACCGGAACCCCAAGCGCCTTATTCACAAAGACTCTTCAGTTGATGCTCCCACGGCCTAGCGAAAAGAGTGCGCTCCACGCACAAACGGAGACAAGAAGCAAGGCTCACTGCTACAGGGCGCGGGCCGGAAACAGCCCAAAAACATGTCAATGTAAAGGCGACCCAGAAAGCTGCTTCCAGACACTCCAAGTCCCTGTTCTTGGTTGCGGCTTTTAAGGACCAGGGTGCTCGCTGTCTATAGGGGCCCGCTGTTCTCGGAAACTTGCGATTGACGATGGGGAGGTGACTTGATTGACTAGCCCTTCATCTCTTCTGAGCCTTCACCCTAATCCGGGACATTCTACAGCTGATACTCCCCATGCAGTCCTGCCATCTGCTTCGCAAGTCCAACAACGGCAGTTCCACTGCGATTCCTGAGAATCGCAGCAGCCACCAGAAGTGGAAAAGAAGGACACGCTAGTTCTCGCAAGCCTCCTGGCTCTTTCTCTCGGCTCGTCGGCAGCAAGCATTCAGGGTTTCGCATTACGGCGTTCAGGTAAAGGTTGAGCTGGGGCGTCGGAGCTGAGGGAAGACATTGTCAAATTCTGCTGCAAGCACGCGTCCTTGGAGCACTCAGACATATCCTGAAGTGAAGTGGTCAGGCATGGACATTCCACAGCACATTAAACTCGTCTAAAGGGCTACTTTGCCAATGCAGTCATACAGGCAGCAAAGTCAACCTGCCCAAATTGTGCAGAACTGCATCTGTGACATGACCAGCTGGCACAAGGATGCGGAGGATGCTGTTTCGGCTCAGCTTACGTATTAAGCGGCAAGCGAAGGACTTTCGCAGCTCTCTGGCTTCAACACAGCATGTCTGTGCAGCGTACCACATCTGTTCGTTCTGCATGGAACTGAGAGAGCCACATCCCCTTCTGGAGTACGAATTTCTAATCCGCTGCGCTTGGAGGCGGTAGCAAGGTCCAGCCATGCCACAGACTCCATGAAAACCTTGGGCTTAGAATTAGCAATCACAGTCATGAGGCGAATAACACTAACCATACACCAACACTACAGCTAAAATGACGCGGCCTAGATCTGCTGGACCAGTGTTCCTGCGCCAAAATAGCGCAGAACTAGAACTGCATCAATGACGTGACCAGCTGGCACAACGATGCGGAGGATGTTGTTTCGGCTCAGCTTACGGTACAGTAGGACGGAAAGCTGGAACATGAGTATCCGCTTGCCCAAATGATGCACCTTCAGGTCAAGTATCGAAAAACTACGCACAAATCGTCCTTGTTCCATGTTCCAACTTTCTGGAACCTACTATGTAAAGCCGAAAGCGAAGGACTTTCGCAGCTCTCTGGCATTAACACAGCATGTCTGTGCAGCGTACCACATCTGATCGTTCTGCATGGAACTGAGAGAGCCACATCCCCGTCTGCACCACCATTTGTCATGCTTGGAGGCGGTAGCAACGTGCAGTCATGCCACAGACTCCATGACTAGCCTAGTAAGGCTAAGCAAAGGCCTAGTATTATCAAGCAAAGTCATATAGTGACTAGTCTAATACTAACCATACTCCAAGACTACAGCTGTTGTAGTGGACCCTATATCTGTTAGACCAGCGTGACAACCACAGGCTTCACCCTAAACCGGTACATTCTACATGCTGACACCCACGTCTGGTCCATGCAGCCCTCCCTATTCTGCTTCGCAAGTCCAACACCGCTGGTTCCACTGCAATTCCGGAACATCGCAGCAGGCAACAGAGGTGGAAAAATAGGGTCATGCTAGTCCTCGAAAGCCGCCTCCCTTTCTCTCGGCTCGTCGGCAGCAAGCAGTTGCAGTCCTCGAAGTGATACAGCGTCGACGCCGTCCACGAGACGCTCGTGCTCCTGCCGGCGCCTTTCAACTTTCTTTACGAAAGCCTCGGGGTTCCGACTCACGGTGTTCAGGTAAAGGTTGAGCCGGGCCATTCGGAGCCCATGGAAGGCATCGTCACATTGTGCTGCTAGCACGCGTTGTTGGAGCACCTTTGCAGATGCAGGAGGCACGCAACTGCCACCGCAGCCCATGCTGTCGCAGTCTCGCCAAGCAAGCCACAGGCCAATGCTGCAGACTGAATTTCGAGCCCTCGGCCGCAGCTTCGTATTTGTAGTTCGGGGGCCCGAGCAGCCTAGTTACCATCTGTCGTGTTTCACGCAGGAGTCTTACGATCCTGACAACCTCCTGCCCCGCGAGAGCTAGAAACTTTCACTATACCACCTGCCAGCAGCTCCTCGCAAATTAAACATCTGTTTGGGAGTAAGGTGCGATAACACCGCAGTAGCTCGAGGTCGACGACTTAAACCAGCCTGCACCCCGAAGGTTACTTACACCCCTAGACTCTTGCCCCAGACCACAAACCGTAACAGTGCAAAGCAAAGAAGCATTCAAGAAGAGTCGAAGGACCGACCGACCCCTCCCTGCAGCGGAGACGCAACCAGCAGCGGCACAATCATGCGTTTCAGCACCACGTAGATGCGAACCTCTGCAGCCTGTGGACACTCGAAGCGGGAAGGGAGGACTTCCTCACAACGAGCCTCCTATTCATAAGCAGGCAGCCAAAGACGGAACTAAAACCACGACATGCTGACAGACTTCAGAAGGCGCGTTGAAGACTTCTACTATAGCAATTTACTAAAGCGTCCTCCGTACCCTGGCCCTAGCCAGGAAGAAAAGGATTCAAGGACAGCACCGAGTATCCTAGTAAGCACGAACTGAACATGTAGTAGGCACTAGCTGAACACAAACCATGCGACCAGGCAAAGGAAATGAACGCGAACTTCTGGAGTTTACGGCTTAGGTTTCCGGCCTCTGGACGCAAGCCGAACTTTCAACTTCATCCTAGTTGAGCTTACATTTCAAGCTGATGAAGCAAGGGATCGCGCATGAAGCTAGGCAGCTAGGGAGGTGCCTTCAGCAGTAACTGCGCGAATAGCCATAATCTGCCAGATTGCCTTCTGAAATGACATCTCTATAAGCAGGGATTGCAGCTTTCACTACTGCAGCCTTCTGAAATGACATCTCTATAAGCAGGGATTGCAGCTTTCACTACTGCAGCAAAGCCGTTGAACCTCCTTCGCATGGTATGCGAAGAGGTGGTTCATCAGTTTCATCTCCATGGGCCTTTAGTTTTGGGCCGAGGGCTTCTGAAATGTTGGATTTGTGACGACAAATTGAGAGCTCAACATGAGGAACAGGACCTCCACAATTAATGTAGGGGCCTTAGTAGTTAGAGTAGGGATTTGAGGCCCCATTATACTACAGTTATAACAAGGAAACCCCAAAATAGTGTTGGTAATCATTAAGGCCCGTAGAGTACCTTCAAAGAACTCCGACCGAGCACCAGAACAAGCATTAGCCGGACAGGTAACCAATTCAGTAGTCCATGGCATCCCAATGCAGCAAGCACTTAAGAACCCCAAAAAAATAAAAAATGTATTCCTTATGGTGGTAATATAGGGATTATTATTTTTATTTTTTGGGGGGTTCTTAAGCAAATAGTAGCAACCCAAAGCAACCCTAGCTTCGTGGAGCGCAAGGTTTGGGGTTTGGGGCTCACGGTTCGATTTTATGCCCCGCACATCACCCACAGGACGCCCAAGGTGAACAGCCAGCTAGCATTGCGAGCTTTGGGTGCGACACTACCCTGACTCCTGAAACCTCATAGAACCCAAACCCTCACCGAAAGGCAGTGAGTCTGCGAACTTCCGCTTTGGGGGTTTCCGAAAATAGGGGACCCTAATCTAGTACCCTAGATTAAATAGTAGGATCCTCGTTCATAATAAGGACCCCAAATCAGGTACCCCCAAATTTCGGGAAGTCCCATTTGGCTTCTATATCAAAAACTTCATCAGCCGATCGCGAAGTTCTGATGGCCGTCAGAGCAAAGAGATGCACGGGCATTGTGAGCTCAGGCTGAATCGGTAGCAGCTTGTAGCTATGAAAAGGCCATGTACCTAGCAAACCCAGTGCCACCCCTGGTTGAGCAATGTAGCTGTTAAAAGTGGAAGTGAAATCAAAACGGAAAAGAAATCATGCTGATTCTCTTTCTAGTTTACTGGTCACTCCGAAAAGAGACGACTGCAACCAATAAGGACAGCATTGGACACGTGAGCATATCTATAGCCATCCCAATCAACAGCCGTGCAGGACTGCAATGAGATTTCAAGAGAGTCAGCAACGCAAGCGATCACGACCCCTAAACCCTAAACTCTACTGTAAACCCAAAACCCTAAACCGGATCACGACCCCACAAACCCAGATGGGGCTGAGCGTTTGGCACACAAAGGTTGCTCAGCTGAAAAGGGATCGTCTCCGTGGCATAATCCGCCACCTCAGTTCGACACTGTTAATGTTTAGCCTGCCTTGAGTACTTGTGCAAGACTTAGGCTTTCGTGACTAAGCGGGCTTGGTGCCTGGATGCCTGTCTGGGTATGTCCGTTGCCCCGAAACAGGTTGCCCACTTGCTGCCTCCTCCGCTATCTAGCCGGAGCCTGCGCCACCCCCACAGTGGAAACCCCCAGCCCATGTGAGTCACATGTCAGGGCCGTGTATTCAAGGATGTGGCTTGGCCGTGGTGAAGCCAGGGTCAATTCTGCGATACTGATTGTCAGTATGGTTACGGGCCGGGTAAGATGAAGATGATGATGATAATGAAAATCCCCATGACTCTTGCTGTATTCTTACCTTGAACATGTGATGCTAACCCAGCATCCGGCAAGGCTCATAATACAAGACCAGAAAGGCAGAACACAACAGATCTTTCGGCTGCACAGCCATTGCGCAGAACCGAAACAAAGTAAGCTGCTCTGATACGAGCCTCGCCCGTTTGCCAATCCGCACTGAAGCAGCAACTTGGAACACGAACCACTACACTATATGTTGGGTACTGCCCCGTTACAGTAACAGTTTATAATAGGGCTATTAGGATGCCCGGTAACCTAGGAATAACAAGGGCTCCCTTTCTGGTATTGGGTAACTTTATAAGGAACCTACATAGGACTACACAAGGGGAATAAGAGTACTACTGGGCATCCTAGGCTATCTGGGTGGTGGCAGTGCCCAAACTATATGGGAGTTTCCGAAATTAGGGGTACCCTATATTTCTTGGGTCGTTATAATGAGGATCCTACTATATTAAGGTACTATATCCGGGTCCCGTAATGGTCGGAAACTCCCATATCAAAGCCCAAACCCGACCGAGAACCTCCGCGTCCACAGCCGTCTCGTTGTCATAGCCTCCGGCAGCCCACACTCCAATATCCCTTCATGAAGGAATATACCTTAAATCATACTAAAAGGGATCCCACTGTAATTTAAGGTATTTTCTTTAAGTAAGAAATGTCGGAGCCTCCGGACTCCGGCAGCAAGGCAAAAGCCTCTGCGCCCAAAGCCCTTGGGATGAAAGTCTGAAAACTCCACGAACTCAAGCATGTTATAAGGGCCCTATGATTATTGGAATAGAGTCTTGGGGTATCTTATGCTATACTTATAATAAGGAGCCCAAAGGAAGAATTTTGGCAAGTATTAAAGCCCCTGTAGTACTCAAGCCTCAGAGCCTGATGCACTGAGAAGAGCTTTGGACTGGAATGGCTTGGGATTATACTGCTTCTTAAAGGTTCATGGGACTTAGTAACTAGGGTGATAATCAGGGAAACTATGGCTTGGGGCTGGAACCTTCGGAAGTGGACGCCTCTGACGCGGAGGCGCTTTCAGGGTTAAGTGCAGCCCTAAATCCCAAACCTTATAAGCCCTCATCCCTTAACCCTCAGCCCTATAAACCCTCTAAACCCTAAGCTCCCTAACGCCAGGTAAGGAGCGCGACGGCTTCTCCCGGCAGCGGTACTTGGATCGGTTGGATTCGGGGCAGGACTCGCGACCTGAGCAGTGAGTATTTAGGGATTTGATTGGGGTGCTGCAAAATTCTTGGAGGGTTGCGGCTCATAGGGCTTCTAGGATGTTTTGGGCGAGAGTGATACTGTAGGGGCCTTACTAATTAGAATAAGGTTGGGGGTATATGATATTATGCTATGATTGTAATAAGGAACCCCACAATAGTATAGGTAATTACTAAGGCCCCTATATTAGGTTTCCCGGGTGCCCTCATCACAGACACACACACACGTATTGGTAAGCAAAAGTCGTAGGTATGCACAGCGCTGCACGAACAGGATGTGTGCAAAAGTCAAAAGTTCGATCACTTGCGGTACATGATAAGGACATACAACAGGCACGTCTGGTTGCATGCACACGTAAAGCTAGACACTTGCCTATCTGCGGCCTACAGTACCTACGTATTTATTTACTATGCAACGGCATAAAACTCCTTTGCCTATTACAGGCAAAGGATGGTAGAAGCCTGAAGATGAGATCTTTATACGACTGAAGTTTGTGCTGTTGCTTTTCTAGGTCACGCTAAACCCACATCTCTCAAGAAGCCCTCCTTTCAGCAGCTGGTTGACACTGTCGGACTTGGACCCTAGAGCGAAGAGGGTCACATCTGCACATGTCATAAATTACAGTATCAAGGACCCTCGTATGGGCAACACTTCGCCCAAAATATCTGCAACAAGGAACCCTCGAAGCATATCTGAGGCCCGATATTCGTCTGCAACAAAAATTCCCGCTGCAGACAAGAGTCACACCGTAAAGGCGGTCTGCAACCCGTTCAGGTTTACGGAGCACACGTAAGCCTTGGAGCCCGCTCCGGCCTCACCCCCCCTCCCGCAAAACTGCTGTCTTATTGTCTTATTTTTCCCCGCTCGCCCTGCCGAAGCCGCGAGGTAAAGACTAGCCAACTCTTTCTCAGAAAGCGAACTTACCGAATCGCGTGCACCATGCACCCAACTACCAGCAACAAAACGACTTGACTTTACGATCGCCGAGCAAAGTGACTGACCGACGATGTTGAGCCCAGCGGGGGCAGCTGGAGCAGATGCGTAACTGATCACTTTGCCTTCTGTGTCTGAGAAGCTCGCCATACAATACTAAATAAAGAAATATGTGATTTTTTTAGAAGCTCACCATATAATACTAAATAAATTAAGAAATCTATGATTATAGATTGTGTTAGTATTTTACGGCATACCAAGGACCATATAATACTGAATAAAGAAATATATGATCCCATAATATTGTGTTAGTATTCTACGATATACTAAGGAAGCCTTGGTCTCAGGTTTGATGGTTTTCAGATCGTCAGGTGCAGCCAGGATGCCATTGGCGTGTCCACGGTTTTCCCAATGCCACAAACCGTCCCCTGGGCAGGGACTTGGGCTTCAAGTCGGCTGTCTCGGCTCAGGGTTTAGGGATCAGGGGCTACACTTAGCACCTCGAGGTCTGCACTATGCAACCACAGAGCTGTAAGTGCACGGAAAGGCAGCAGGCAAAAGCCACAAAGCACAAGAAGCAAAGGATGATCGGTAGAGTAACAAATGAGATGCTGCTTACTACGACTCTTCGACGGTCAGCGAGGACAACTGCTTCAATGCAAGAGTCTTTGGCCTTCTTATGCGGCAAGAAGAGACCGTGGGCACGTGTTTCTTGCTTGCTTGAATATTCGTTGGGGTTGCAGAAGTCTTGACAGTTAGATACCGAGGTCGGAGAACTGAGAAGCTGCGAAGACCTGTCCGGGCACGCTGACACATTTCGTCTCGAGCCTTCGACCCTCCAATTGAACGCCCATCTCGACTGTGTTCGAAGAGTTGGGTCTGGAACTTTCTTGTCCAAGGCTAACAAAGGGCTCTTCTGTATTCTCATGACACGGCCAGCAAGTGCCAATGCTCGCCCCGAGCCAACTCCATCAGCGGTTGATTGTCGTTGTTGTTTGGCTTGTGTTTCTTCATCTCTTCATTGACTCCGGCAAGCCAGTCTGTGTTTGTATGTGTACTTCTCATCTTGGCCTAACCCATTAAAGCAATGGACATCGCCCCAGAAGCTGCAGGCAAGGCTTATGTAATATCGGGGTCTCATACCTTGCTCGAATAAAGCCGCTTCAGTTTCTTTTGCTTTCAATGTTACTTCGGTTGAGGGCTCAAGGGTTTTGGCGTCTCCGGTTTAGGAATCCTAAGGATCCTCTGCGTCCAAGTACCTTACAATCGTACACTCTCCTGGATAATACTTGGAGGGTCGGGGGACTTAGTTCGTAGGTACGAAGTAGAGCTATAGTTATAAGTACCTCAACAGGTATCCGAAGTGGTGTTATTGTACTTATAACTCTTTTTTCTAAATGAACTCACTTGAACTGCATTGACTCTTCACTCGCAGCTTCAAGACCGCTCGTGTCTTCTGCCACTCTACAACTAAAGCTTCCACTTTGCCCGACAGCGAGGTGCAGTGCCGACACTACGGTACTGGCAAGTGAGGGAGAAGAATCAACTTTGAACGTGTCCTGCATTCAAGTCCGCATAAAACCCGCTCCAAGGTCAGCCCTTGTAAATCTGAAGTTAAAAGCTGTTTGTCGAGCCGAAGCCAGTTTCACAAGTCCGCGCTCCTCGTCGTCGTCCTTACCCTCGGCTTCCGAAATCAAGAGCCCCCCGATCTAAATCCAGAAGTAAAGCTGCGGACGAAAGCGGCACCTAAGTTTCGGGAACCACCCGCATGTACGCGACAGGCTCAGTTTATGGAGACGGGTTTTGAATTCAGAATCCCGAGGCGTCGTCGTCGAGATTTGGACAACGCGGGAATTGTTATGTCTTCTTGTAATCGCTGAACCATGAACGGTTGTACCGCCACGGGAACCGTAATTTCAATCAGCCCTCCAATGTTAGCCAGAACTCTTTGTGTATTTGCTGTTTCTATCAAGTAGCACGCAGGCTTCGTAGCAAGCATTTCGAGGTGTGCGGTTGTGTGGGTCTTGTTGTGCACGCTTGCCCTGTCTTTCATGGCTTTATGTGTGCTTCTGTGCGCTGTACAGCGAGGCTTTTGTTTGCATGCTTTTATCTCCCTGCTTACTTTCGCGAAGATATTTTCAGACGGCTCATCTGCGGGAACGCCAACGCTCCACAGCTGAGCAAGACTTTTCTGTGCAGAGATTTGCGGAGTGGGGGGTTGAGTGCCGGGAATCAGAAGCCCCCTCCGCATCTTTAGTTACTCCGCAACGTCGTCAGCGGGGAAGATTCTTCAAGGCGATAGTGAACAAAACATCCCAAGCATTCAGGCATTGCTTGAGGCCTACATCTGATTCCTGAGGTAACGGCAATTATACCACTTCCAATCTTGGCATATCATTGCCATAGCAATAGTACCCGTAGGCTTATTGTTGTTAACCATAACGGACATATCTGGCCCATATCTGGCACCTCAGATACCATAGGGGCCTTAATAGTTAGAATGCAGTTTGTTTTTTTGCCGCGGAGGCGCGCGGGACGCCTATACTATAGCTATTATAAGGAACCCCCAAAATAGTCTCAGTAATGATTTCTCTCTCTCTCTCTCTCTCTCTCTTTCTCTGCGGTTGCTCTATACTACGGGCCTCATAGTCCGACAAACGAAGCAGAGGGGATGATTTGGCATACCACCTTGGCGGAGGCGAGAGCTGAGCTTCCGTGCAAAGCTACATGTGAAGATTCCCAGAATCGATGGGGTTTAAGAGTAAAAATTTGAGAATAATATAGGGCTTTGGGGCCAATTTTGCTGTAATTATATTAAGGCCCCTATAGTAACATCCAGAGGCCGCAAGGTCATGCGCCGAACCCCGATTGTTCAACACATAGCTGAAGCCGAGGGCTTGGAGGTCTTGACGGTTGCCGCTGCCGCTACAAAGTCGAAGCCGATGAAGGGATGGGTACTGTAGGGGCCAGAATAATGACCTATACTTTTTGGCGGGGGGGGGGCTCCTTATTGTAATCATAGTATAATGGGCCCCAAACCCTGTCCTAATTATTAAGGCCCCTGTATTCGTCAAAACGAGCACCCACACCAGAACTCCCTCTCCCACCCTCGCAACCACAATGCTCGACAGCAACCAGTTCGGATGTACGGGCTTTGCTGCAGCAGGTGGGTGAGGGGTGTTCTTAAATTAGGCCCTGAGCTGGTGCAGCTACTCTTCCGGCACTCTTTCATGGACTACTGCAGAGGACTGGCCACAGCCAGCGGAACCGCGATTTCGAGAAGAATCAAAAGCCCCTTAAACCTCAACCGCCCATCCGGGATCATGGAGTCCATCAAGGGCTAGGCGCAGACAAACAGCAACCAGCGCCGAAAGCAGTATGGCATAAGTGACGAGCCAGGCAACCTGGAGCGCTCAAAGCAAATAGGGACAAGGCTTTGAAGGAGGCACGGAGACAGACCAGGGGTTTATTTCTGTTCTCTAGGCAGGCGATACCACCTGTCCAAGCACAAATGACAGCGGAACAAACAAGACGGTTTAGCACCGTAGGGCTTACGATGAAAACTACCTTGACGACGACGACGACCACAACGACCACTACTTCTTATCCACTACCACTACCACTCACACTACCAAACCCCTAGTGCTTCCGACACTGCTACTGCTACTCCTAATAATGCTACTCCTAGTACTGCTAATACTCTTACTACACCTACAAGTACTGACCTACTGCTCCTAATGCCTGAACGAAATCCTGAATCCTGAACCGCAGAACTCCATTCCGCCACTCCGCTCCGTGTGTTTGTCTGGCTTTCTGCAGCCGATCTCCAAGGAGGAAACGATCCCTGTGAACCGAGCTTGGGGTGCAGGGGCTGTTTTTGTCGTTCCTCTTGTGCTGCTACGGTTATCAACCACAACAACGACGGCGGTTGCTGTTGTCACCGCCTGATGATTCCTAATGTCCGTCTATCTCTCTCTCTCTCTCTCTCTGACTAGAAGTCTGACAGCCGTGGTTGAGTCCGGCACATGAAACCAACACTAAATCTCCACTGGAAGAACCAGTCCGGGTCGCATCCGTGCAATGGCGGGGCACATCCTCCGGGTGCAGGAGATGGTCGACCTAACGTGGTGTGCTGCCATGTCTTGAGTTTTGCACGCGGGGAAGTGCTGTGGGGATCTCCGGATTTTGAGAGTAAACGCTCTCGGGTTTTGGATTTCTGTTTGGGGGCTTCTAGTTCAAGCTGTTGCGGGGATTGCGGTTTCATTGATTTATTAGGTCATTGATCTCTAATGCGATCATGGCACTGGGACGATACTCTGTCCTGCCTCGCAGAGCTAATGCCTAAAGAGCTCATCCATTTCTACTGTTAAGGAATACCGGCGGCTGCCCTGTTTTTTTCTGGCATGCTTTTTTCAAACCCAGATGTTCTTCTTCGAACCCAGAGACTCCAATATACCTTAGTTAAGGAATATACCAAATAATATTAATTAGGGATCCTACTACAAGTTAAGATATATTACGAAATAAAGGGATATTGGAGTCTCTGGGAAAGAAGCCTCAGAAACTCGCATCAGACGTGCCTGCTCCCTTGTGCGAGCAGCTTCCAGGATGTTGTCCTTGGACAAAGGCAACCAAATGTAGAGCTTTTACAATGACCTAGACTATTTTGAGGTGTTCTTTATCACAAGTACAGCATAATGGGCCCCAAAACCCTATTCTATTAACATCCCAAAGCCCCACAATACATAGGAATCAAGCTGGCTGTCCGGTCCGGGGTTTCCTCGCAATCCTCAGGCGGGGGTACCTCGATTTCCGGAACAATTAAAAGCACAAGAACTTTCATGAAGGCCCTCCGCAGAAGCCGGCCGGACTCCTTCTTCGTAGAGGGTGCAGAAAGCGAAGCCTACACGCTCGTCTTCAAGCCATCTTGTGTAAGTCTGCGCCTTGAGAGTAGAGCTCCCAGCACGGTCCTCAAAAGACATCCCGAAGCCGAAACCCGGAACCCTTGTGATCTCCGCGCACACCCCCCCCCTCAATGACTCAAGGAGGGTTGAGGCAGCCCCTTCCTGCGCAAAGAGGCAAGGCGGCCTGACCCAAGACAAGATTACGCTCGGGAACTACATAAACCCTCAAAACATGCACTCTCCATGGATGTCACTGCCCTAAAGGCTGAAGCAGGGTTAGAGTCGTTCTAAACTCACCGTAGGACCCCAAAACCCTTTCTAAACCCTCGACAAAAACACGGATGAAGAACCGGGCCTAGACAGCCTAAGGCTTAAGGGTCTGGCCGTGTGGAAAAGCACGGTGCCCTGGCGCCTCAGCAGCACATGTCCTTGGATATGGGCTTAGGGTTTTCCGTCCTCCATCCTCCAGGACTTTAGGGTTAAGGAATGTTGCAGTCCCTTCGGCGGTCCTGTTTATAAGGGTGCCGTACTATTTTGGGGACCTGAAGAGGGACCCTGATTTAGAGAACTATATACCCACATAGAAAACCACGTAAGGACACAAAATGGCTACAAGTACACTAAATAACATCTCCTCTTCAGCTCCCCTTCCAAAAAAACATCATCTGGGCTTAGGATCCAGGGTTTGGGGCCCCTCATGACCGTAGAAAGATAGAAAGAAGCAAAGCTGAGCATGTTTATTTACACGAGCATCTGGATGTATGGTGTGCGCCCCATCCTGAAACTTGAACCTAGGGGTATCACCCCTTACCTTTTTCATATTCTTGCCGAGATCCTAAGGGTCTTTGCACTGACTAACCTAGGGCGTGCAACAACAGTACGTCGGATGACAGCACTGGCTTTCTCAAACCTGTGCTCTGATTGGACACCCTTCCTGGCTTCGCGACTCCGAGTTTCTGGATTCTTATGCTGGTAGTACCCTGATTCCCTTTTTGTAGCCCCAGGCTCCATATAAAGTTACCCAATACCAAAAAGGGAGCTTCTTATGCAACTTGGTTTTCGGCTGGGGTGGACTACGTCACACCTGGACTTATTCATAACTCTGCCTCCGTGTTCACTGCTGCACATGCTGCCGAGCAACAAACGCCAACTGAGCTTCGAACATTCAGCATGCTACTTGAAGTTTCCAAGGGCCCAAGCTAAAGCCACCTTACTAACAGCAGTTGCAATAGCAGTTGCAGTAGCACTAGCAGTAGCAGTAGTAGTAGTAGTAGTAGTAGTACTAGTACTAGTACTAGTACTAGTAGTAGTAGTAGTAGTAGTAGTAGTAGTAGTAGTAGTAGTAGTAGTAGTAGTAGTAGTAGTAGTAGTAGTAGTAGTAGTAGTAGTAGTAGTAGTAGTAGTAGTAGTAGTAGTAGTAAGTAGTAGTAGTAGTAGTAGTAGTAGTAGTAGTAGTAGTAGTAGTAGTAGTAGTAGTAGTAGTAGTAGTAGTAGTAGTAATAGTAGTAGTAGTAGTAGTAGTAGTAGTAGTAGTAGTAGTAGTAGTAGTAGTAGTAGTAGCAGCAGCAGCAGCAGCAACACGAGTAATCTCCGCAACCAGACCGTCTTCGGCCACTGGCAAAGTCCCTGTGCCGAACCCGGAAGACGAGCACTGAAGTAACACACCTCCAGACTTTCCAAGGAGTCGACGGCCTAATGTAGGGCTCAGCAAGTACAGTGAGTCCATTGGGCACGACTCTATTGACACCGTACTGTTATTACTCTGATTGTTACTACGATTATTACTACCATTATTATGACTAGTATTGGTACTGTCATTATTACTATTGTTGCTATTATTAAGTTGGCGTCAGCAGCTCCGAGCAAACAGTTGACAGCCCAAGGCACCGTCAGTTTGCGGAGCTTTCGCAAGCCGGGCTGTTGCTGCCCGGGCTGGTACTGGCCGGCCTTCATAGGAGGCCAAAACGGGTTGTTTTTTTTTTAACTCCTTTAAAAAAAAAACAGGTTGGGTTTAGGGTTTAGGGCTTCGATTTTAGCCTATGGGGGGGTTTAGTAGGGATTAGGGTTCCCATAGTAGGGTTCACATGGTCCTATGGGGGTTTAGTGGGGATTAGGGTTCTCATAATAGGGTTCCTTATTCAGGAATACCTACCCCAAGAATCTTAAAGCCCCCCTTTTTGGCCTCCCATCAGGCCTGGAGCTAGCACCGCCGCTGGCCGGGGTGGTGCTGCCGGAGCCGGCAGTGCCGGCGGAGGGGCAGCGGGCCTCCGATGTTTTGCTTCTTGAGATTTAGAAAGCCCTGGCATAGAATCCTAAAGCTCCTTAGTTGCAGACCGCTAAAAGCAACCTTCCATTCAGGGCTCCGTCCGAAGATCCATTGAAGTTTAAGGCGTTTAAGGCCTCGCACTTAGGGTTTAGTTCAGGGACTAAAGTAGGCGGTCTTTGGATTGCCTGGGTCCTGTAGATCTCTAGATCCACTTCACGAAGGCTGCTTGTGATTCTGCCGGCCTACAGCACGTACTCTTGCCACTCGCACTCGGGCAAGCCACGAAATATCTCATGCGACGGTCTGCGAAGCGAAAGGCCTGAAGCGACACACTGTGATACGGGGTATCAAACACGACACCAGCACTACAAGTAGGATTCTGCCACAGGCAGGCTGCGGCTGAATGAATCCTGAAACAATTGCCGATGGGGAAAATGAGGGGCACCCGTAACGACAAGCCAAAAAGGTCGTCAACATCTCGATCCGATTCATCTACAAGCCGAAAAAATGACACGGGCACCGACCAGGAAGTTTTCCCTTGCTACTGAGTGGGACCCACTTCTACCGCAAATTTGCCACGACAACTGCCTTAGCCCTACAGCAAAACAGCCTTGAACTCGTCGAATTTTCCTTCTCCTTGGCGCATGCTCCATTCCCAAGGTTTCGCGCTGATGCTCAGGCTTCACGGGTGAGTGTACTGGACTCTGCATGGCTTCTTTTAGGATTTTTAAAAGAACCGACAGCTGGCAAAATGACAACGACCCAGATTCCGGCTCATCCGACTCATCGTCGACTCCTGCTCCTGCACAAAGGTACCTGGGCTCCAACGCTGCAGTGCATGCAACATGCTGCAAAGGGCAAAGGCATGACCTGGGACGGTGGCAAAAGGCTGAAGCTTAAACGAAACCAACGAATCCATCAACCGGAGTTTGCAGCACGAGTGCAGAAGCCAGGCCTTTCCTCTGCTTGTAGACACTCTTGAACTTCTAGAGCCTGACCTGGAGAATCCTGAACCGTAGTATTTACTGAAGATTTTGAGGGACCTCTATAGTAAACTACATCAAGGAGCCCTCCGGAACAGCACTACTGAGTCATCCCCCAATTTACACCTTGAGCCCCATCACCCCCGCAGCATGGCAACAACTACCAAAATAACTTGACAATGATCACTTACATGACGGAACCCAAGCCCGCCGCCCGAATTGTGTGATGGTTCTTCGAAGAGCCTTGAAGCCTGGCCTAATCCTGTCAAGCCTACACTCTCAAGCCCGTTGCCGGCGTGCCTCCAGTCCCAGTTCTCCCACCACTCTAGCATAGCCAGAAGCCAAGGCCAAAGCGCGGGTAGAGGAGGTGGCTTTTGACAGATGCGTTGGTTGCGATGGGTGTTCGGTTCTTGCGCCGCTGAAGCTGCAGGGGTTCAGGGCTTGAGGGCTTACAAAGTTTAGAGGGCTTGTAGGGTTTGGAGTTTAAGGTTTGAGGCTTCAGGAGTCGGGTTCAAGGTTCGGGTTCAGGGTTTGGGCTGGGCAATGAAGGGTGTGTATCATGTGGGAGCTTGTTCCAAAAGTGGAACACCAAGGTACATAGTTTGCCTGTCTCTGCTGAAGATATAGGAAGTTCGACTCTACACCGCTTGGACGAAGGCCTCCGTCACCAACAAGATCCTTTCTGGTCCTTATGGTCTTCGACAGTTTTAATGTGTAGTTAGCAATAGCAGGATACAGGGTTTAGCATCTTAGAATTCAATGCAGCTCTCAGCTCACTTTGGAGCAAAAGCTCTTCTGGCTGCTGGGGCCGAAGAGCATGACGGCACGTAAAGGCTTGCCCGGTGTCTTCTCTGCAGGGTGCGAGACGGAGGGTGCAATGACACTGAATCTCCTACCGGCTACCTCCGACCTCAGGGCTTCGTAGGGTTCCAAAGGAACCCTACAACCCAATTCCCTCCGCACACCCTGAACCCTAAACCCCAAATCCGAACCCTAAACCCATGCTGAGATCCAAAGTCCATGAACCCCTGAAACCCACGAGCCTAAGCACATCAGAGCTTCCTGCCCCCGCGGCCCCAAACCCTGTGCATCCCCTCTGGTTGCCTCCAAGCATAGAGGACCCCCAACAGGAGACCGGCACTCATGAGATTCTTGGTTTTCTATTGAACTCCCGCAATGCAATGTTGAGGGACCCAAACCCAAAGAAGACCAGCCACAGAATCCCGTAACCCTCTGGACTCAACAAGCCCTAGCGGCTTTCAAGTCACACTCTCACACTCTCCCCCACAATAGGGCACTCTCCCCTTTCGAACGCCGCTTCAAAGTCAAAAACTCGAGAACAGAATCAAAAAGCTCCGGTGTCTTCGGACGCGTTTTTCCCAGCTTTGGAGCCGAAGGGCACCCATCGAAACCCGGGGGCGCGAGAATCTAAAGAAACATCACCTTAATGGGGGTTCCTATAGAGTACCCTTAGTAGTATAGGGCCCCAAACTAGGGGATCTCTATGGTTCTGGATTATTGATACGATGTACGGTTGGAGTGTCCTCGACAGCATGACTATTTCTGGTAGTGTCATTCGCATGTTCGGGGGCTGCTGGGATCATGGTCGTTCGGGGGTGTCGGGCTTGAAGGAGGCAGCGGTTGTTCAAATTGTAGCACCATCGCTGCCACCACGTCGTGAATCCAGCTACCGGTCTCCCAGATGCAGTTGCGTCTCCAAGATCGACCTGAAGCCCGATAAACCCTATAAGCCCCGAACATCCCTAAACCCTATAAGCCCTGACAATATGTCCACCTAACCTGAACTTCAACCCGACTCTGCGCCTGGGATACCGGTTTTCGCTAAGAAATACCCATGTAGGGGGCCGGCAGTATGGATGCCTGCGAATCCGCCCACAGTATAGAGGATTTGCTGCGTACAGCATGTACAGCAAGGGCCCACCGAAAACGGCCCTAAAATGGAACAATCATGAGCAATCCTTATGTCGGGCAGGCCGCTCATGAATCATCCGTCATTCGGGACGCTCTCGCACATCTTTGGAAACCTTGCACAAGTGAGAGAGCTGTTGCCGACGCAACTGCTCTTGGTGCTGCTGTTGATGACGACGACTGCATCGACGCGGCTGCTGCTGGTGGGTCGCGAAGGGAGGGCAATGCTTCGAGACTGAAGGTCAAGATGCCGATGGGGACTGGGATAGGGGTGGTGATGCGGTGAATCGACACCCGAATCATCCCGAATCGCTGACTCAACACACTGATCCGCACGCTGGCCACACCCAACCCGAGACCATGCTTTTGGCCTCTGCTGAGAGACCTGAACTTCTCTGAGCCCTAAACATTGATGCTATACATATCTACTAGTAATAAGAGGTCAGGGTCATTCTTGGCCCCATCATGGCAGATCAGAGCATGCTTTGCCTTTTCATCTAAGAAGCTAAGTAAAGGCATGAAGCCCCAGCCTGCCACCAACCTCCGTCTCCGGAGCCACCGCAGCCGCTTTAACCCCAAACCCCTCAAACCGTTGAGCCCCGGACCCGAGAAACGCCCCGGCGCCCGAAACTCTCTAAACCCTACAATGCCCCGAGAAGCAAAGCAAAACTAAAGCGCCCCTGAACTCTGAAACCCTTTCTGAACCTCTAAACCCTAAACCCCTAAACCCTTTTGCAACTGGCCTGCCCTGAACCCTGAACACCCTTTCTAAACCCCTATAGTCCTATAGGCCCTGGGAGCCCTAAAGCAAGGTTTGTCGGGCAGAGGCGCTTCTTCCGGACGACGAAAGGCGCCTTCCGCCGATCCCCGGCTTGGCAATTCTGACCTTCTTCGAGGTTTCTTTAGGTTTTTTTTTTTTTGAACGCCTTTTTTAGGGTTTAGGGTTTAGGGTGGGTCTAGGTGTTTTGGGTGTGGTGCGTTGAGGATCTTCTACACCTTCATAGGTTAAGGGTTCAGAGTTTAGGATTTCGCAGCGTGGACATCCTCTGCTTTCAGACAGGACCCTGTCTAAACAATTGCCTTGGTTTTCGTATTTGAGGTCATCGGTGCCACTCTTCCTGGGCGCCGTGGTGTTGAGCTCGCTGGGGAGGAGCCTCTAAGCGAAACCAAGACCGCCCTGGAAAATCAGCCCTCGGAGCAGGGGAGCTTCGACTTTAAAAGCCATGGGGGGCTTTTTGGTGTTCCACGTGGTTGAGGGTTTAGGGAGTTTGGGGTTCAAGATTTGAGCTTTTGAAGTTGTCTGAGTCCCTGCGCATCCTGAAGGATCTTCTGCTCCGCAGTGCTAAAGCTTTCTTCTTAAGTGCATGCAGAATGAGTAGTAGCGTGATGGCGACTTCCTTCACGTTCTTGAAAAGCCTGTCCGAAACCCGGTGGTACAAAGCTCGTCGTTTGTCACGTGCTTTACAAAGAATTCTTTACCCCTGGATGCAGGTCTAAACTTCTGAACACCCCAAACGGACCGGTTTCAGACCCAGACTCTCACAGGCCATAAAGTAAGCCATTCAGGTTTTCTCAGCAGGAGACCCCAACCCAGCTCCGGAAACGTCTGAACTGGGCAAGTTCCGAAGCATGGCTACTGAGCGCGCGTCTCCAGTATCGCTCATGATTCTTGAAATCCTTGGGCATCACTCAGACTCAAACAGCATCCGCTCTAACAGCGTGCGATGGAGTATAACAGTCGTGGAAGGTAGCACCTGTAATTACCAGTACCACTA